AGGCAATACTTAGGAGCAAATATTGGTTCAAACAACACCAGCTCCAACTCTCCAGTGGCCAGTTTGGCTCATCCCAGGTAGAAAACAACATTTTGCAACACAGTCAAAACCTGATACTGAATATTTCTCCTAACCAGCAGGGAAACGGGTTTGTGGCATTTCCTTAAAAATAAACTAAGCACAGTGACTCTGCAGTTGGAGCATGGCCCCAAAATTGACACATGGGTCCAAACACGGTCTGCAAGCCTGTTTCTGGAAAGCCAGCCACAGCTCTCCAGGGATCTGTCAGGCCTTGGGAGCCATGGGGAATGCCAAGCTGGTCCCAGTCCATTGCCAGCCAAGGCCATGCTCTCAGAGCTGGCACTCCCACAGTGGCTTACAGCTGCTGCAAGCCCCATGCTGACCTGGGCTCCAGGGCAGGAGAGACTTCCCCTTCCAGGACATTTGGCATCAGGCAAGAGGGCTGGGATTTCCCCCACGTTCTTACACAAGTGAGGGAAACCAGTTCTGCAGAAGCCCCCTGACTTCTCCCTGCCCCTCCTGCTACCTGAACATTGAATCCCAAAATGGTTTTGGTTTGAAATGACTGTTAAAGACCATCCCATTTCACCCCCTGCCATGGGCAGGGACAACTTCCACTAGCCCAGGTTGCTCCAAGCCCCTTCCAATTTGGCCTTCAACACTTCCAGGGATGCAGGGGCAGCCACAGGTTCTCTGGGCACCCTGTGCCAGGGCCTCCCCACCCTCACAGGGAAGAATTCCTTCCCAATATCCCATCAAACCCTGCCCTCTGGCAGTGGGAAGACATTCCTGCTTGCCTTATCACTTCATGCCCTTGTCCAAAGTCCCTCTCCAGTTTTCTTGGAGTTCTTAAGGCACTGGAAGGAGCTTTAAGGTCTCCCCAGAGCCTTCTCTGTTCCTGCTGGTCACACTGCTTTGGATGTGGCCCTGCAGACACTTGGCTGCCATTGCACAGTGCCAGCTCATGTCCAATTTATCACCATCCAAATCTTCCTCCACAGGGATGCTCCCCAAGCATTCACAACCCAGGGTTACCATCTCCCATCTCTCAAGATAGGCACCTTTGCCACTTAAATGCCCATCTCAGCTTCTGTCCCACCCAGGCTATTGACAGAAGATGGTCTGGGAAAATGTGTTCCTGCTCTTCCTGCCTTCACCTGCCTCCACAGGCAGGCCCAGGACAGGACAACAACCTGACCCCAGCTTTTGTGGTTGACCATGCTGATATCCTTGTCTTGGGCATGCTCCAGCCTTCCCCAAGCCACAAACTGGAAATTCCTATTTCCTGAGGGAAACAATTCTGGAGAAGCTGTGGCTCCTGGTGAGTGTATATTTTGCCCTCTTCCTTCAGCACACCCCACCTCGAGGTTCAGTAAATTCCCTTTGCGTTTTTTCTTCCATTTTCAGGGCATTTTCTCCTTAGTCACTCAAGGTGAGCTGGGTTTTCATCACAACTGCCAGCCTGGTGACTCCTGGGAACACCAACCTTAGCTCCAAAGGCTTCCACAGCTGCCTGAGAACACCTCTGTGAAAATAACTGCTCCAAAGTGTTGGGTGAGATATCTTTGTGGTGCCTTGATCACAGCTTTCCCTATTTCCCTCTTTTTTTGGTGTTTTCCACAGGCCCAAATACAACCAGAGCTCAGTTACAGCCCTGTTCAGCTGTGGGATGAGCTGTGCTGTGGGCAGCAGCCTGCTCTGTGACAAAGCCAAGCCTTCTCCCACATAGCCTTGCCAGCTCTAACTTTATCCCAAAGTCCTTTGGGTAAAGGACAAACCTTTTCTGTCCTTTCCTTAGAACACAACCAAAACTCCAGTGCAGCCTCATCTCAACCACAAACCACAGGGCACACGCATGATCTTGCAGTAATGAGGGAGATGCGAAAATAAACAATATTACTTTACCTTCTCTTGGCATTGTTCTTTCCCCAGGGTTCAGCTGTGTTTATACATCACCAGTGATCCGTGGTTGGGCAGAGGGTGTGTTAATTTGTGTTTCTTCATCATTCATGTAATTTTTAGCAGCAGCATCCTCTTTTGGAAAACAAAACGGCCGGTGTTGCAACGCAACGGACTTGAGATGTGTGACAATAATTCAGGTCATTCCATGAAGATGTGCACTGCAGAGGGGTGGATGTTTCTGGGTAACTGGGACAAAGTCTGAGGGGCACTGACTTAGCTCTGTCCTTTCTGGTAAAGCTGCTCCTGCTCACATGAGCCAGAGCACAGAGCTCTTGCCTTGAAGGGCAACAAGAATTTCCAGCATTACTAAAAATTGGCCTTTGCTGCTCAGTCTCAGCTGAGTCAGCCAGACATGGCCATTTGGGAATGGGACCAACCATGCACCCAGGAAGCCAGGTATGAGTCAGACAGGACCTGTAGAGGGAGGTGAGTGTACTTAGCAAGAGGCAGTATTCACCATGTGGCTAAACATGCATTTTCTACCACAAAATTTGGCAAAGCAGATGTCTGATGGATGTTCAGGGGAGGAAATTGATTACATCACACAGTTCATCCCTCCTGGACTCCAAAACAAATGGCATTTTGAAGCTGGAGGCCACCTAGGACACTTTCCTTTTTCTTCCTAGGCTTCCCATGGTGGGCTGTACTCCTCAGAAAGAACCACCTTGGAGAGCTGTTGGGTCCTTTGGAGAGCAAGGCCTGAGTCTTCAGCCCGGGTGGCCTAGAGGGCACAGCCCTGGCCTGCTGTGCTTCTGCCATGGGGTCCCTCCAAGGAAAGCTGTGTATTCAAAGAGTTTCTTCTCTGCAGGCTTGGCCACAGGAATCCAAACTGTTGAAGGAGCATCCGCAGGAAGGATGCACAGCAGGAGGAGAGCGGAATCATCCTGGAGAAAGGTAGGATTTGCTAGCACCAAAAGGAGAAGGACCTATGCTTGTGGCTGGTGATGTTCCAGGTGTTTTGAGATGCAAGCATAATGTGAGAAGGGAGAGAGGAGTGGTGAGTTGTCCATGGTAAAAGGTCTGGGAACCATGTGCAGAAGGCAAAGATAGTTTGGGTTCTTCCAGCACTTGCTCTTCTGTTATTTGAGTGGATTCTTTATGTTTTTCAAGCTCTCTTCTGCATCTTTCCCCTTCATCTGTCCTGTGGTGAAAGTATCTTTATCTGGGCAGCTCTGTAACTACTTGTGGAGTCAATATGCCCAAGCATTTCCACAAATATTTAGGTGTTGTTTCAGCTGCAACTACAGTTTCTCAATATGTCTGGTGGAAGAGGCATTTCGGAGCCTCAGCAAAAGGCTCTGAAAGAACCATGTGGGACAGTTTCCTGCAAGACCTTGTGCTTCTTCCCATGCATGGGGATGTTGCTAAGGCTGCATGAGTGAGGCAGGGATCAGTGAGACCTGCAGGAAGCTGGGGATGGATTTCAGTCATTTCTACCTGCCTTGGTGGAAAAAGACCTTTTAAGGCCACAGCTTGCTGGAGTAAATATGGATGGGAAATCTTTTAAAAGGAGAGGCTTGAGGTGGGAGAAAGTCAGTCCTCCTACAGCTGCAGTGTGTTTGGAGACACTCTGGACACAGGAAATTCTGCTCTTCTGGGAAAGCAGGGGGTGAAGGGATGAGAAACAGGAGCCGGCCATGCTGAAGGAAGTGTCACAGACGATGCTGAAATAACCAGGAGTGCCTCTCACTCAGCCACAGGCAGGGTGGGCTCCTGGTGCCACAGCTGAGGTGGTCATTGCCTGAGGGCCTCCACCTCCCTGGGTCACTCTGTAGAGTCAAATCCTTGGCCTGGCACTGGGCTCCCACCTGTGCTGAAGCCACTCTGGGCACCACCACCACCTGCAGGTCGCTTTGCCATGAGCCTGCTGGAAGAAGGGACAAGAGCCAACCCAGGTGCTTCCAGTCAGCCTCCAGCTGTGTGCAGAGTGAGGGCTGTAGGGGGAGAAGAACCTGTGCAGGGGATCCAGGAGATCTTCCCTCCAAGGGAGGCTCATGCTCTTGAAGGCAAGCCTGGGAGCTGGACCTCCTGGCTGGGCTTTTTGCCCTCTTCCTTCAGCCCACCCCACCTCAAGGTACAGTAAATTCCCCTTTGGGATTTTTTGCCCAGAATTTTTTCTTCCATTTTCAGGGCATTTTCTCCTTAGTCACTCAAGGTGAGCTGGATTTTCACACAACTCCCAGCCTGGGGACCCCTGGGAACACTAGCCTTAGCTCCAAAGGCTTCCACAGCTGCCTGGGAGCACCACTGTGGAAATAACTGCTCCAAAGTGTTGGGTGAGATACAGCTGTAGCTTCTGTGGGGTGGACATGGTGAGTGGACCAGCCCTAGCAGTGGTCCAGGGATGCTGTTTGGGCTCAAGATCTGGCTGATGTGGTCCAGGGAATTCTCAAGTTTGTGTGCATGTGCCAAAGGCTGTGGCTGGTCCTGTACCTGGCAGCAAAGATGGGGACATGAAGGCTGGGACAGCACCACAAGGCTGCCCGTCATAGACCAAGCCATGCCCTCTGGCCCCAGGGGACAGGCCAGGAGTGACACAATGGGATGGAGAAGCTTTGCAGAGGAAGTGGGAGGAGGCTCACTGCTAATCTCAGCATTTCTTCCCAGCTTCAGCCCAAAAATTTACCAAAAAGTGCAGTGTGATGCTTCCTTCTGTCTGCAGGTCACTTATGGAGCTGTCTGGTCACTGCTGTTGGCTTTTTTTTTTTTTTTTTTTTTTTTTTTTTTTTTTTTGTCAGATCATGTGTAAGACTCATTTACTGCCTTTCAACCCTACTGCCATTGCCAGGAGCACACAAGGGAGCGGGCAGGCACTCGGTGCTGAGAGCCAAGGGGCAACGGGCACCTCAGCAGCAGTTACTGGCAAACACACAAAACTCGGCTCTGGATCCAGCAGGGACTTTCTGAGATTATTTCTGGGCAAGGCAGGGGGTGGGCAGCACAAAGAAAATCGCCTCTCCCGCCGCGTTTCAGCCCGCAGGAGAATTCAAATGTCACAACTTGGGAATTTTCCATCTGAAGCCCCTTGTAAAATGCAAAGCGCTTTGCTCCGACTCCCGCCTGCGGAAGGGTTCAGTGCCAAAGTGAAAGGCTTCCTAAAAATGGGCTGATCCTGGGAGGGGGGCGATTTAGGAGCTATTGAGAAACAAGGAAGGACAAACAGTGTTAGGTCATTGCTTCTGCAAACACAGCCAAGGCTGTTCCTCTATAAAAGGGGCAGAAAGCGGTTCCAGAGCCATCACAGACTCGGAGGGGACGGTCTGTGACCAAGGCTGCTGCACCCCTCCCACGGCACCCGACCCCTGCTCAAGCATGAAACTCGCACTCTTCACTGTGCTATCCCTTGGGATAGTGGGTAAGTGTCTGCTGAAAGCAAACTTTGGGGGAAGGAAGTCAAAAGCTCTGTGTCCCCCAGACAAGGCTGTTTCAGAGCTGTGGTGTACACGGAGGAGGCAGCTGTTACAGAAAAGCCAGGACACAAGCAGTGCTTGCTTTGGCAGCCGTGGATCTGTCAAGGAGGATGGTGTTTTGGTGTTACTGACAGCTTTGTGGGATGGAGGGCGGGTTGCAGCTGCCCACACTGCCCATGCCCACCCTGCAAGGAGGAGGGATGTTTGGGATGGGCTCCGTGCTCCAGCTGTCACAGGATGAAGGGAAAAATCATCCCCTGGCCAATGCTGTGCTGGGAGAGGAGCACTGGCTCAGCCAGGGGGGAGAAATTATTGCAAGAGAAATTATTGCAATTATTGTTTGGTTAAACTTGAGGGCAGTGACAGTAAAATAGAGCTTAAATAATGAAAGATGCTGTGTGCTTCCCCCTCTGCTCCTGCGCCACTCTGTCCTGCTGCTGCAGCTGCACTTTGCTCAGGGTCCTGCCTATTTTATGCCAAATTTGTGCTGCTGCAGGGCTGGCTCTTCCTTGAGGGATTCTTGCCCCTTTCTCTGCTCATATCTGTGGCTGGCAATGAGCAGGTAGCTGTGGGAAGGAGACTGCTGGCTGCACCTGGCCTGGGGACTGATGCCTGGACAGGGAAAGAGGGATCTCCTTCCTGGAGTAGGCACCAGGTCTCTTCTGATCCCCCTTAAAGTGTGGTGGTGATTAATGTCCTCTGTTAGGAAGTGTTCCCTGTGCCTCTGGCATCAGGGAGTCCTTCAGCACCTCTGCTGAATATTAGCGTGCAAAGATGGTTTTTAATGGTTCCTCCTCTTCCTCCCCTGCACAGAAAGAGACAAGAGGTCACCCAAAAGGTCTGTGACAGTGGCCAGGGCACTCAGGCTGCCATTGCCTTCCCAGTGTCACCAGGACAGCTGGGTTGACTCCCTTGGGAGGTCCCCACCCAGCCTCTCCCCAAGACAGGATGCTTGCCAGCATTAGGTGACCATGGCTTTTTGCAGCCAAGACTTGAAGATTGTATGATTGTATGATGAACTTGAAAAACATATGAAAAAGGAGGTGGTGGCCACTGGAATTGAGGCTAAGGATTCTCCCAGTGGCCAAATTCAGCACCTCCACTGGGAGGCTCAGGAATCAGGTAAACAGAGGCTATTTCTGAGGTGAAATAGAAAATGGAAACTACACAGGTTAATCTGGAGGTCTTTGGAGGAAATGTGAAATCGAGGTTTGGAGAGATAGTGGGGTGCAAGTGGCCTCTTGGTCTGCACAGCCCTGCCCAGAAGGGGCAGACTGCAGGTGAAGTGCAGCACAGGCTTGCCACATCCCTGAACTGCAAGTTTCCAGCATTCCTGGGCTCAGGTTTCCAGAGGGGACATGAATCTGCATCCACCACAGGCTTTTGCTTTGTTCTGGTCCCCCAGAGCAGCCATTCAGCTGCTTTTGCTGCTTGGGGCACTCATGGAGGGACAGTGGTGGTGCTGTGGCCTCTCTCAGGGGTGCAGTGGAGCAGGTGAGACAGAGGGACAGTTCAATAGGTCAGATCATTCAGCTGCCAAAGAGGTGAGGGTGGCAGTGAACTGCACACAGCCTGGCCAGCTCAGAGCTGCTCCCCCTCTGGGGTTATTGGCACAGGCACTGCTTCAGTGCTCCAGCTTTTCTCTCTGTTTTTGCAAAGGCTTGAGCTTGATTTCTATTGAAGTGTGTGGATTTGTTCTCCTAATCCTGTGGATGTTGCTGTGAGTCCAGACTGCTTGAATCTCAATAGTCCAGGGACAGGAATGATCATCCTAGATGTTCCTGATGGTGCACACATCAGGCGAGAAAGAAAGAAAGGACCTTCCTGCGTGGCTTGGGGGATCCTGCACGTGGATCATCCAAGGCCATGACCACAGAGAAGCAGGGAACCATTGACCTTGTGCTCACAGAGACGCTGTTCCTCTCCAGTCAGTGCCTTTCTGCCTCTCTGAGACTTTATTTCTGGTTCTTTCTACAGCTCTGTGTTTTGCTGCTCCCCAAAAGCCAAGTGTCAGGTGGTGCACAATTTCCTCAGTAGAAGAGAAAAAATGCAATAGCCTGAAGGACCAGATGCAACAGGAGAACTTTGCTTTCAGCTGCCTGCAGAAAGCATCGTACCTCGACTGCATAAAAGCCATTTCGGTGAGTGGGCAGCAAATTCCTCTGCTGGAATGTTTCAGCAGCGTGTTACACCTGGAGATGGAGTTTCCTTTCTGGTTGTTATCCGTGATCCTCCTGTTATACACAAGGATCCAGGAGAGACTCTGGGAAGCGCTTCTCCTGCTCTTTGCTAATTGATGAAATCTCTTTGTTGTTTAGAACAGCGAAGCAGATGCCATTAGCTTGGATGGAGGTCAAGTTTTTGAGGCAGGCCTTGCTCCTTACAAGCTGAAGCCCATTGCTGCTGAGGTCTATGAACACAGTGAAGGTACATTTCCATGCCATTTTTTAAAGCCAAATATTGGTAACAAACTGAGAGTGCAGAGACCATCCTTTCCATGCAGAGTTCCCACTTATTTTGGTTGGGGGTCCAAGATATTGCCCTGGTTTCCAGGTCCCAGAGGGGAAGGCATGGGGGAGCAGTTCAGCAAAAATCATCACGCATGGTCACAGGGCCCAGTGCTCCATTTCTTGTCATTTGCTGCAGTGCAGGTCCCTGATCCCATGAGCAGAAATCATGGTCCTCCTGAAACATGGCACAAAAATGGTGCTGGTCTCAGAGATCTTCTGCTTTCAGTGGCCTTGAACTCTGTGGGTAAAACACAGAGCTGGGAGGCACAGATGAGTTCTGTGATTTCCTGTGCAGTCATCAAGATAAGGAAAAGACTGGGGAGGCAACAGCATTACTTGTGGTTGGGAGGGACACCCAGTTGAGATCACTGAGACAAGAAATGCAGGCAATCCCCAGGAAAAAAAGAAGCATAAAAAGGGCTCTGCAACAATCCCTTCTGATCAGAGTGAGATCCATGGCTCCATCCCTATTCACCCATTTTACCATCCTTCATCTCTCCCATGTTTTTCCTGGGAGCCAAACAGATGCCATTTCCCTGCCACATCCAAAGCTCCAATCTCTTTTGAATGTTCCCTGGAGTTCAGCCTGTTTGTACACAGTATTCAAGATAAAGCAATGCAGCAGAGTCCTTCCCAATGTGGTAGTTAAGAAAAAGATCTTAAACCTTAAAGGTTGAAGTCTGTACCACCCTCAAAACTCAGTCATTGTATCCATATTTAGCATGTGACAGACTGGGTAAAATTCTAAACACTGAATATGGAGTTTCAGTCTCACAAGGCTTCTGTGGGCAATGGCATTTGAGAAGAGACTTGCAAAAAGATTCCCTCAAGTTCTTACAAAACTATGGCACCTTGAATGTGGTAGCATTTTCAGGTCACTTACTGGAAGTTGTAATGTGCAGCATTAGTTCAACATGGGCTGCATTATCTCACCCCCAAGAAAATGAGAAAACCACAAGTGTTCAACCAAATTAGCTGATTGTTTAGAAGCCCAGCACGCTGTTCCCTGAAACTGGGGGTTTAGCAGGATTTGAAATGTCCCTAAGCCCTCTTTTCCCATTGCTCCATTCCTTTTTCCTGCACTGCAGGCTCCACTACCAGCTACTACGCCGTGGCCGTTGTGAAGAAAGGAACAGGCTTCTCTATAGATGAGCTGCAGGGCAAGACCTCCTGCCACACAGGGCTGGGCAGGTCAGCAGGCTGGGTCATCCCCATTGGGACCCTCATCCACCGTGGGGCCATCGAGTGGGACGGAAAAGACTCGGGCTCCATCGAGCAAGGTGAGCTGGGGCAGTGAGAGACTGGGGTGGGAGCTCAGCCAGGGCTGGTTATTGGAATATTACCAATGTAGCTGGACAGGACGTGCCTGGGCTTGTTTGGCTCTTGCTGCTTGACCAAAAGGTGCCAGCTATGGTGTTTTCACCCCAGAGACACCTTTGGCTGGCTGGATGCTGCAGATGGGCACATGGAGGCAAGTCCAGGCTTGCAGGAACTCAGGTTTATCTTGGCAGAGCAGCTTTAAGGTGATGGTGAAGGAAAGGAGTCAGCTCTGATGGAGGGTTTCCATCCAGAGCTTTATTCTTGGCCCACAGGCCTCTGAATCCAGCAACAGCTCCAACAGAACTCTCAGACCACGTGGTTGCTGTTCCTTTTAACCCCAGGGAGAGGAGAAGGGAAGGAACACGAGGGACCAGCAACCAGATGGTGGGGGGAAGTCTCAACTTCCAGGACACCTGGATGGCCCGATGTCTCCTCAGGAGTGGGGCATCTTTTGAATTCTGCCAATCACTCGATGCCCTTCTGGAATGCCAGGACTGACAGACAGCACTCAGCAGGGGTCAGGGTATGGAAGAGAGGGATGATTGACACACCTGGCAGGGAATTATCAGGAAAGAACCTGGCATATCTGAGGCAAACCATGACATCACACCGCAATGTCTGGTGACACCAGGTGTCAGGGTGGGAGCTCAGCCAGGGCTGGTGTCACCATGGAAGGGGTGACACCAGGTGTCAGGGTGAGACTGGGGTGGGAGCTCAGCCAGGGCTGGTGTCACGGTGACAGGGGTGTTGCCCAATCTTCTGGGGGTCTGGAGGTAGCTCGCAGGGCACTGACATTTCTTGAGGGTCCTCTCCCTTCCCTGTTCTCCTAAAAGTGGATTTTTGACCAACTGTTGTTTGTTTCTCATCCGTAGCTGTGGCCAATTTCTTCTCTGCCAGCTGTGTCCCTGGTGCCACCACTGAAGCCAAACTATACCGTCAGTGCAAGGGGGATGCCAAGACCAAAATGTCCCGCACGGGACCTTATTCTGGATATTCTGGAGCTTTTCAGTGAGTGAGAGTTATTTTTCCTTTGGGGAAACATTCTAGCCCTGACATAGGCAAGTTTTTATTGTACCAAGGAGGGCTGAGTTGGAATCATGGGTCCTGAGAAGACTGAATTGCTTCTCTGCCATTACAATTTCTTCCCTTCCAGCAGAGCTTTTTTGGGGAAGATCATTGCTCTTATGCCTGAAGTTTATGCCGAAAATAATTTGTTGAAACAGGAGATAGGGAGTCACAATGCCAGTTTTTCTAACTTCTCTTCTGTTCCTCCTATCTGCAGCTGTCTGAAAGATGGCAAAGGAGACGTGGCTTTTGTGAAACACACAACCGTTCAAGGTACACCTGCAAGATCCCTCATTTCTCCTCTTTCTGGCACCATCTCTCTCTGCCGCTCCATTCTGCAATTTGTCTACACTGTGCAGTTTTCATTCCTCTCCAGGCTCAAATGCTTCTTTCATCTTTTGAAAAAAGTTTTGCACATTGTGAACTGACTCATCCTTGTTAATGAGAAATGGGATTATGGTGAATCCACTTTTTCTTCTCTGAGATTCTTCTTTGTAGCTGGAATACCTGCTTGGTGCCATATCTCAGAGCCAGCTGTAATGTGAGCAGCTGAGCAGGTGTCCCATCCCTCTGGAAGGGATTTTGGAGGGAATTCAGCCCACAGCAAGAGTTCATTAAGTCTGTGGAGACCAAGGGTGGCCTGGCACGCCCAGGACCTGCAGTGAGCTCAGTGGAGGGTCACCAAGGTGGTCATGGGGCAGGGATAACTGTCCTGCAAGGAGGTGCTCTGTGGGATGGGCTTGATCAGCCTGGGGACCCAATACAAGGGGAGTTTTTTTCCCCTTGAGGACAGTGAGGTAGTGGGACAGGTTGTCCAGGACAGCTGTGCACTCTCCATCATTGAAGGCTTTCAAGATCTACCTGGAACATCCTGCTCTGTCCCTGCATTCGCCAGGGATCTTCAAAGGTCCTTTCACTCTTGAATTCTCGTGTAACCTCTTGATCTCAGTCCTGGGCTTTCTCTGTAGCCTTGACATTGTTCACCTACTGGCCTTCACTGACCATGTGCAGCTCCTTACCTGCTCAATCCATTTGTAAGGGATTTGTAAACCTATTTGTACCCCTTTGTGCAGAAATCCTTGTACTGTTGAGTTAGTTATGGCAGAGGCTGAGGTGATCTCTCTTCCAAAGACATTGCCTTCATATGCCCAAGATGACCCCATTGCAAGGGGGGTGCCTGCAACCTGTCTTCTGCTAAGAAATTACCCCAGAGCTTCAGCAGAAATAAATTAATTACAAAGCTTCCCAAACTCACCTTTCTGTCTGTTTTCATGATGGTGCAACTCATGGTTCCTCCCCTCCTTCAGAAAATGCCCCAGCAGAGAAGGATGAGTACGAGCTGCTGTGCCTGGATGGCACCCGTCAGCCCGTGGACAACTACAAGGCCTGTCACTGGGCCAGGGTTCCTGCTCATGCTGTTGTGGCTCGAGATGACAGCAAGGTCAATGACATCTGGAACTTCCTCTCCAAAGCACAGGTACCACCAATCTCTCCTTTCCTTCCTCTAACATCCCCTGTCCTCTGGTTTTAGTTGCTTTCTTCAGCTTTTCAAGAGTTTTGGTGTGGTTGTTTGCTGATTATTTTTCCCTTGTGGCAGGAAAAATTTGGTGTGGGCACAACCAGCACCTTCCACCTCTTTGGGCCACCTGGCAAGAAGGACCCAGCCCTCAAAGACTTGCTTTTCAAAGACTCTGCAGTACAGCTGAAGCAAATCCCATCACTGATGGATTCTCAGCTCTACCTGGGCTTTGAATATTACAGTGCTGTCCAGAGCCTCCAGCAAGGTAGGCAGGACATCAAACACCAGTGTCATGTCAGCATGGGCCTTGTGGAAGAGTTAGCATTGGCAAATACAGCCAGGCAAAAAGAACATGATTTTTTCAGACACAGACTCTATTATCTGCAAAATATTTTGTTTCAAATCACAGAACCTTCACAAACTTCACTTACATCAATAATAGAATTTGTTGTATCCAAACCCAAATCACCACACAGACAAATATGGCAAATCTACACAAAATCCACATCAGTTATTCAGCTGGTGGTAGAGAATTTGGCATGGTCAAATTGGTGTTTAGAAAAACCATTTCTGGACTGTAAAAAGAAGGAACATCCCAGGACACCAGGTTGAGACACTTGAGGTAAACAATGTCCTTAATTTCCATCTAAATTCATCAAGCATTTTGTGATAGCTTTCTGAGAGTCAAACATCCCACAAAGGATCTCTGAAACCCACTTTGAATTCATAGTACAATTTAAAGTACTTCACTTCTGTTAAGTGATATTCATGGAAGGGGGTGAATGGATTTCACATAGCATCAAACCAGATTATTCAAGTGCTGCTCTACAGAAACATAACTAGGTTTCCAGTTTAGTCTGGTCTCAGTCTCATGGCTGTCTGGGCTGTGAGGAGTGCAGAAATGTGGGACATATTTCAGGCAGCAATTCCAATTACTATTATCACACAGATGTTTAGTGGTTGTGCTATTTTAGCTAACAGAAATCTGCCTGAACGGCTTGTTATGCAGCATTCACCTTTCTGACCTGCAAGTTGATTTTTGAGCCTTCTTCAGCTCAAGAATCACCTTTTCTATTCTTGCCAGCCCAGGGCTTAATTAACAAGAACTCCTTGCCCTGAGCAGCAGCAGGTTGGTGTGTACAGGTGGTTTCTGGACAAGTCCCTCACACCAGGCTGTGGTGGTGTTCACAGGGGTTCCATGATAAGGGAAGAGATGCAAATCCTGACTCCATGTTTCAGAAGGCTGATTTATTATTTTATGATAAATATTATATGAAAAGAAAATGCTATATTAAAACTATACTGAAAGAATAGAAGAAAGGATTTCATCAGAAGGCTTGCAAGGAAAAAAAAAGGAATCATAATAAAATCTTGAGACTGCTCACAGCCTCCACACAGGTGGCTGTCATTGGTCATCATGTAAAAACAATTTCACATGCTGGGTAAACAATTCTCCAAATCCCATTTCAAAGCAGCAAAACATGGGGAAGCCGAGGCTTCCCAGCTTCTCAGGAGAAAAGATCCTAATGAAAGGATGTTTCAGGAAATAAGTCAGTGACACCAGGAGGTGGCTGTGCAGGGCTCATCCCTGCTTTCCCTGCTTCCCTTTGCAGATCGCCTGAGCCCCAGCCGCAGGGACAATAAGATCCAGTGGTGTGCCATTGGCAGGGATGAGAAGAAGAAGTGTGATGTCTGGAGCGTGATGAGCAACGGGGATGTGGAGTGTGTTGTGGCAGAGGACACCAAGGAATGCATCACAAAGATCATGGTACAGCTTTTTTCCCCTTTTCTTCTTTTACCATGTGAGGTCTGAAAAGCACTGGCCTGGGGATGTGCAGCATTTCATTTCTGCACCTTTTCCATTTCAGAAAGGTGAAGCAGATGCCATCAGCTTAGATGGAGGCTTTGTCTACACTGCTGGCATGTGTGGCTTGGTGCCAGTGATGGCAGAGAGCTATGAGGGTAAGCACAGCTCTGTCTCAGGGTGGGGAATGGGCTGGTGCCAAAGTGCTGGTTCTATTCTGGAATCTTACAAAGCAGCTGCAGTGCTGCGTCCTGCAGAAATCACAGAATATCCTGGGTTGGAAGGGACCCGCCAGGATCATCAATCCAACTCACGGCCCTGCACAGACACCCTGACAATCCCAGCCTGTGCCTGAGAGCATTGTCCAAAGGCTCCTGGAGCTCTGGCAGCCCTGGGGCCATGCCCATTCCCTGGGGAAGCTGCTCAGTGTCCCACCATCCTCCCACTCCTCTGGGGGAGGAACCTTTTCCTGATACCCAGCCTAACACATGGTGCTCTGAGGCAACTCTGCTCACTATTGCATGTATTTCCATGAAAGCAGAGCAGGCATGGATTGTCAGGAACTCTGTTTTAATTAGGATGCCCTGGTCCTTTAGCACCAGCTAAAGGTAAAACTGCTTGTTTTAGCTCAGAGGAGCAGATGGAGGCTGTGCTTTGGTCTGCTGATTCACAAGGTGTTACTTGAAATGGGTCACTTTTACAAGAGAGTTTCTCCAGAAATTAGTGAGCTTGATTCTTCTTTTGGATTTGAGGTGTATTTAACTTAACATCTTCTTCTTCTTCCCTCCCACAGACAATCACTGTGAATCACAAGAAGAACCAGGTAATTCCTGCCAACAGAGGGACAGAAAACAGTCCAGAGTGATATAAGTAGAAAAGTAGATATGAGTCATGAGTGGAGAATAAATGGCCAGTCTCCACCCAAAGAGTGTCCAGTGTAGATGTTAGAATTTTGGGAGATAGGTTTAGCAGTTGGAGGGAAAATTAGGGGCTGCAATAAGATCAAGGTGAAACATTTGCTAGTGGCAGAGATTGGTGTGGTCATCCTATAGCAGTGTCAGGGCTGTGAACAGACAAAGAGGGGCTGGGCTGCAGCATTAAGAAATTATTCTTTCTAGAAATGGAAAGGGGGAGAGGAGGGGAGGCTTTTGTTCTTTGCTAAGGAGACAATAAAAATCAGGAGTGGATACAAAATCCTCACATGTACCTTGCCTTCTAGGCTTCTCATATACCCAGATATCAGAGCTTTGGAGGGCAGGGAAATGTCAGGGATCATAATTTCCCAGGAGCGTGGTGGAAGTAGATGCATCACATCTACAAACTCTTCCATTGTTGCTGCCTGCCCAAGTACTTATAAGCACAAAGTAATTCTGTGCTGTTCATGGGTATCTTTTCCCAAGTGAAGCCAGTGCTCTCTCCTAAGTGATCACAGTGGGATCCTTGGGTCAGGCCTCAATTCTTCTCTATTTTATCTTCTGAAAGCAACCTACTTTGCTGTGGCTGTTGTGAAGAAGGCTGACAAGGACATCAGCTGGAACAACCTGCAGGGCAAGAAGTCATGCCACACCGCCGTGGGGAGAACTGCTGGCTGGAACATCCCCATGGGCCTGATCCACAACAGGACAGGCAACTGCAACTTTGGTGAGTGCATCTTGGAATCCCTCTCTTTGAGCTGGGAATCTGTTCACAAAAAAAAATCTTTTACCATCCTTCATGGGGTTTTCAAAGTTTCTTGTGCCTCAAAGTTCCCTCCTGAAGAGAAGAAATGGAGATGCTGTTATTTAAGGTTTCACTGAGCAAAATTTTAGGCTTTGGGCATCTTCAGAGTAAGATATGGCACATCAGCTGTTTTGGGGGTCTTTGCTGGGTCTTTGCTTTTTTTTTTCACATCTCTCTCCCTCTTTCTGCAGCAGCCTGGGAGGTGTTCCCAAAAAGGGAATGTGGGCTGCCCCACAAGGCCTGGTGCTTGTGCAGGGTGTGGAGTGGGGATGAAAGATGAAACTCAAAGGGAGGGGAAGGGCTGAGAACAAGGGACAGAGGCTGATCTTTAAGAAACTTAATCTGACTGCCTAAGACTTCACTGAGAGTTATGGTCTGACAAAAATAATTCGGAAACATTATCAATGTTAACAAGCAAGACCAAATAAGCATATAATAATTAAAAGATTGAAGATATTAGTGTTAGTAAGTTTTATTATTGGCTTCTCTATCCTCCTGCCTTCATTTCCCACTGTCCCTTCTACCCCAAGAACTCTGACACTGCTGCCAAATGCACCTCTGCTGACCCATAAAGCTGTGGAGGCTCGGGCTGGCTCTGTGTGAGCTGGGAATGGTTTGCAGGGAAAACATTCCTCTTTTTATTCCAAGATAGTGCCTCTTGCACTTGAGCCTTAGGCCCTGCTTCATCATGGAATGGTTTGGGTGGAAAGGGACCCTAAAGCCCATCCCATTCCACCCCTGCCAAGGGCAGGGACATCTTCCTCTATCCCAGGCTGCTCCAAGCCCTGTCCAACCTGGCCTTGGACACTCCCAGGGATCCAAGGGCAGCCACAGCTTCTCTGGGCAACAATAACAATAATTATCAACAATAACAATAATTATCAATAATAACAATAATTATCAATAATAACAGAACCCAAGTTCCATAGTCAGAACTGGATGCACGTGATTTGCTACCCACTAAGTCATGCTCCTTCTCCCACCCCATTTCCAGCTCCCCACTGAGCAAGAACATGTTATTACAATAAAACCTAACTTCTAAGGGCAGGAAAAGTGAATTTCTCCTATCCCTGCCTCCAGATGAATACTTCAGCGAGGGCTGTGCTCCCGGGTCTCCTCCCAGCTCCCGGCTCTGCCAGCTGTGCAAGGGCTCCGGGGGGGTCCCTCCAGAGAGGTGCGTTGCCAGCAGCCACGAGCAGTACTACGGATACACCGGAGCTTTGCGGTACGTGCTGGGGACAGCCAGGCTGTCTCAGGGCCCTGGGGCTGCTCACAGAGGACAGGCCACAGCTGGAGTACAGCCTCATGTCCACACTCACTCTTTTTCTCCATTACACCACTCAATAAGCATGTCTCTGTAATTCTATACATGCTTTTTCTTTGCTTTCTGAAAATCGATGTGAAATATCCTCATTCTGTAGGACTCATGTCCTGGTGCCTCCAGGCAAACCAGGAGAGGCACAAGCCCTGCCACAATGGCCGAAGTGCTCCTCTCTTAACATAAATAAGGAGTATAAAGGCTGTGTTTCAGATGTATTTAAAATATTTGTGGCAAGGCTCCTAAACCTGGATGTCCTTGGAGATTATTGCACAGAATAAGACTCAAGTCTAAGTCAAATCTATGGGAAAGGGACAGGATTCAAGCATTTACATCACTGGCCTCTTTTTCTACTTCCCAGGTGTCTGGTTGAGCAGGGGGATGTGGCCTTTATCAAGCATTCCATTGTTGAGGAAAACACTGATGGTACGTGGTCAGGGCTGCCTTCCCCATCTGCATGATTGCTTAGGTGGCGTTGAGGTTGATGTTGTCCTGCTATACAAGCTCTCTGAATCTCCAAACCCATTCTTCTTTAAAGGCAAAAACACAGAAAGCTGGGCCAAAGATCTGAAAATGGACCAATTTGAGTTGCTGTGCACTGATGGGCAGCGGGCAAATGTCATGGATTACAGAAGATGCAACCTGGCCAAAGTCCCTACCCACGCTGTGATGGCGCGTCCTGAGAAAGCACGCCAAGTCCGTGAGATGCTGGAGAACCAAGAGGTTTGTAGTGCTGAGAGTAGAAGAAATGTTGTGGGGCTGCTCTGATTTTCTCCAAGTCAGTGTGAGGTGGAAGCTTTTACCCCTTGGCCTCCCCCTTCCTCCATCCCTTCCCAAGTGCCCTTTCTCCTCTGCCACCTTAGCAAACACACCTTTAGGTAGCAGTGGGATTGCAGCTGTTGCTGCTGTCACACTATGCTTGTGTGACATGATTTTATCACCTCCTTTCCAGCCTCTGCTCCTGTTTCAGAAACTCCTTTGTGTTGCCTGGTCTGGGCCACAGCTGGGTCAGGCTCAGCCCCAAAATCAGGCTCCCTGCACACACACAGATGACCAGAACCAGACTGAACCATCTGTTTCTTCCTGCAAACATTAATATTGGCTCCACCATCAGGGTCTGGTGAGAGGTCTGGTCTTTTGCTTCTACTCATGGTTAAGTTGCAGGACCTGCTGGCAGCATCTCTGCACACAGGGACATGTTAAAATGGGGCAAGAAATGTCCCTCCCAGTGAGCAATCCCTCCTCTAAGCTTACAGACAGACAGAAGGTTCAATCCTAAATTTCCAGAGTCTGGCTTGAGGCTTCCCAGACTGATGGTGAAGAACCAGGATGAAGTAGGCCAGCTTTCTACTTCTCTCTTCTTTGTGCCTTTATTTCAGAGGCTGTTTGGACCAAAAGGAACCAGGAGAGATGATTTCAATATGTTTGCATATGAATCCAAGGATCTTCTGTTTAAAGACCGGACAAAGTGCCTGATCAGTCTCCGTGATGGAATCTCGTACAAGGAATTCCTTGGAGATAAATACTATGCTTCACTTGCCAGCCTCAACACCTGCAATCCATCAGGTAACTGGAACAGCCCCAGAGGAAGTCCTGAAGTGCAGTTCTTACCTTGCAGGCATGAGCAGTTTCTTCTGGAATTGTCCATTCAATGTCTTTAAAGGAAGAAATTGTCAATATTCTTTTCTCAAAGTTCATTGGGTGAACTGAGAACAGATTTAAAATCTGCTGCTCTGGCAGCAATGTGAATAAGACTTTTCCTTTAGAAAGTACGGACTTTGAGAAACAGCACAGAGAACCCCCAGGGCTAGCAGTGTGGGATTTGTGGTTAAAGCTCTTTTTTTGTGGCACACTGTGGATTTTCCATGGTGTGACTCTGTTGCCATGGCTGGGTGTGTGCTGGTGGGACGGGAGTGTTTAAAAGCAGGATCTGAACTTCTCCCTGTCCTTTCCCTTTCCAGATCTTCTCCAGGTGTGCACCTTCCTTGCAGACAAGTAGTGAGATGGGAAGGATCCTCGAGGTGGGGGAGAAAACCTCAAGCCATGACTCCTCTTGTGCCCTCAGCAGCAAACACTGACCCACGGAGGGCCCTCTGCCTTCACTGCTTTCTCTGCCCTCCCTCATCACTCTGAAAGTAGCTCTTTGACACTTTACAATTCTCTGCTGCCAGCACAGCAAAAAATAAAATTTAAAATCTAAACAAGTGTCCTGAGATTTTTCCAAATGGTCCTTAAACCCATTCCTTCCTCAATGCCTCTGAGTGTAGGACAGTGACAGACACCAGTGTAGCTCTTGTCACTTACTGCTGCCCTTTAGGGAAATTTCTTGCACCATTTGCCAAAGCAAAATAAATTTAATATACCCTGGAGCTTAATTAACAGATGCTTTGTACTCTCTGCTTTAGCTTTGCCCAGATTATCCCACTGTCCCCCTGGCAGGTGAGGGTTCCCCAGTGTGGCTGGGACACGGGAAGAGGGAGAATGTTTGTGTCAGGGCAGATGAAGGAGGAATAAAAATCACTCCAAACCAAAATAATACAGTGGGAGTAAGATGGGAGGGGTGAACAGAAGCTGCTGTGTCTCAGATCTCAGCTGGCTGGCTCTGAGTCCCTCCCAGCAGGCAGGACATGTATTGATGGGGAGAGTCCAATCAATCTCTTTTACTTTCTGGAAAAGTCTAGTGTTGCAGTGTGCTGTACAATCTACCTGGTAATATTGGGATTCATATTCCAATAATCTAGGATTTGCTCAGGAACTTATTTGTTTTAGCAGTCTGTTTGGTTTTGTGCTGCTGACCTGAAAACAAACATGTAGCTTGTTTTGCCTCATTCTGAACCACTTTAAAATAAAAAGGCAAGGCAAAAAGGGCTGCTGAAACTCTCTGCTCCAGAGGAACAGCCAGGGTGTCCCAATGCTGCTGTCAAGGCAGGCATGGAGGAGCTGCTGAAAGCACAGTGCTCCTGACTTTGAGGGAATGAATACTTTAATGATTTTTGGATGCATATGCTAAGTGTGGTGAGAAGTCCAGCAGCCTGGCTGAAAATCCCCCTGGATGGCAGAAATGCAGAGTGTGACAGGAAAGGATGAAATGTAGTCCCTCCGTTTATGTAGGATGAATACACTGGACAGGTGGGTTTTTTTAACCCATTCTTCAAAATTAGCAAAGAAAGAGAATAAGTGCCTCTAACAGGCTGTTTCTATGACTCAGTTAGAGAACTTTCCCCCCAAAAAAGCCACACCATCTGCATTTCATGTCAGGTGTAAGCTCTTGTCCCATAGGTAGAAGGCATTGAAGGATAAAAGGAACCTCACTGGAGGGTCACTCAAGCTGGAGGGACCTCTGGGGATCTCCAGTCCCATCTCCTGCTCAAGGATGGTGTGAAAAACGCCAATCATTTGTTTTTAGAATTTTAAAAGTTTAATAGTAATAAATTTGTTATAAAAATAGTAATATAATTAGAGTAATAAAAATTTGGACAATAGGGATTAGAACAATATGAGACAATAGAAACAAAGAGTTACAGACAGTCTGGGTACCTCTGTCTGGGCAAAATAAGCCCAATAAAGGGCACATATTAACAGAAGATTAACCCTTAAAAACAATAACCTGTTGCATATTCATACACCTCATACATGATGCATAAATTCCATTCAAACACAGGATTCTGTCTGGTCAGTGTCAGCTTCTTCCTCTGAATCTTGACAGCGTCTTCAGGGCTGAATGAGGCAGGAAGAACTCGGTAAGAGAGCAATAAATTCTTTTTCTCAGAAAGATTTAGGTGTCCTGTGGCTGCTACCTCACTGTGAGTCTTAAAAAAAGTATCCTACATAGCACAGTTTCTACTTTAATATTATGTTATAACCTAAAACTATATTTAACACACTACTTAAGAAAATTAATACAGCATAACTTTCTAACACAACACATATAATATTCATTTTAATGTTCGTAAAAAGCCAATCATAAAATACACATTTTTCACACTGCCCCTCTGTGCTGGGACCTATGAGACACCTCCAGTTCTGGGCCCAGCAATTCAGGAAGGACATGGAGGGGCTGGAGCATGTCCAGAGAAGGGAACAGAGCTGGGGAAGGGAATGGAGCACCAGGAGAGGCTGAGGGAGCTGGAAAGGGGCTCAGCCTGGAGAAAAAGACGCTCGGGGGGACCTTGTGGCTCTGCACAACTCTTGACAGGAGGGGACAGCTGGGGGAGGTCAGGAACAGGACAAGGGGAAACGGCCTCAGGCTGGGCCAGGGGAGGCTCAGGTTGGACATTGGAAAATTTATTTGCAGAATGAGCTGTCCAGCCCTGCCACATCTGCCTGGGATTTAAAGCCCTGTGTATGTGGCACTTCGGGACATGGCTTATTGGTGACCTCGACAGCGCTGGGGTCACAGAGCTTTTCCACCCTAAATCACTCCACATTCCTCCGGGCTCCTGAGGGGAGAACTACAGCTCCCATGAGCCCGCGCGCCGCCCTTCCCGGCGTGCGGCGGGCCCGGAGGCGGAAGCGCGGCGTGGCCACGAGTGCGGGCCATGGCGGGCGGGCTGGAGCCGCACCTGGCGGCGCTGCGGCGGGAACTGGGCGGCCCCGCCGTGCTCTCCGTGCTCGTCGCGCTCCTCGCCGTCGCCATCACCTTCCGTGAGTTGCGAGAACCTCCCTTTCCCCCCGCCCCGCGGGCTGCTGAGGGCGCGGCGGTGCCGGCAGCGGTGGGCTCGAGTGTCCCCTCATCCTCCTCATCCTCCTCTGCTCCTGTCTTCCGCAGTGCTCTGGCGGTTCGTGCAGGGCAGGAAGAGCAGCCGCAAGGCCGTGCTGCTGCTGGGCCTCTGCGACGCGGGGAAGACGCTGCTTTTCGCGAGGGTGAGCGGGGAGCCCCGGTGAAGGAGTTCCCTTTAGTTCGCTTTTTAATCTTTTAATGCAAAGTCGGGATTTATGGCTGTAAGGAGGGATGGAGAGCGAGTTTTGGACACCACGAAATGTCCAAAGAAATTTGTCATGGTAAAAGGTTTAGCGATACTTGACCTCTCGGCAGTGTGCAGCTCCAATCTCTGGGAGCAGCGACAGCACCCCAGGGAATGGCTGGAGCTGTGCCAGGGGAGCTGAGGTTGGAGATCAGGGAAAGGTTCTTCCCCAGAGGGTGCTGGGCACTGCCCAGCCTCCCCAGGGAATGGGCACAGCCCCAGGGCTGCCAGAGCTCCAGGAGGGTTTGGACAATGCTCTCAGGGATGCACAGGCTGGGATTGTTGGGGTGCCCATGCAGGGACAGGAGTTGGGCTGATCATCCTGGTGGGTCCCTTCCAACCCTGGGTATTCTGTTACTGCTGAGTCTGAAAAAGAAAGGGGCATAGCCATGGAAACTCTGAAGGATTTGTTAGCACACTCTTCTTCCTTCTTATTTAGTGGAGATTCGCAATTTAAATATGTATTTATTTTCCTAATGACCATTTATTAATTAACTGGAGAAAGAGACCCCAGGTGTAGTTCCCTGCAGGAACCTGAGATCAGATGTGTGCTGCCCATTGCCCTGTGGGACCATTTGAGTTTCTGAGGAGGCTGAGGGTGGTGCTGGTGCTGGTTTGGGGCTGGGGAGCCTCTCAGCTGTGGTTCTGAGGCTGTGCCTGTTCCCCCAGCTGCTGTCGGGGCGCTACCGGGACACCCAGACCTCCATCACCGACAGCTCTGCAGTCTACAGGCTCAGCCAGGACAAGGTGAGTGCCCTGCCCCAGCCTTTTCCTGCTCCCCCTCCTAAACCTGGGAATTTCTGTGCTGCTCAGGCCCCAGTTTGAGTGCAGGACAGGATTTTTTCAGGCCATGCATACTGAGAAAGAAATACTGGAGTGTGTAATGTAATACTGGGCTCCACACATTCTTTTTTCTTTGCTTGTAAAATAGGGAAACATTTCTGATTGAAAACCACACCTCTGGGGGTTTCACTGTTCTGTTGCATTGGTTTATTTCCTCATCAGTAATTTCTCTTTCTGCCAAAAAAAACCCTGAAATTCAAAGCTTTATCACATTTAAGCAGAGGCTCCAGCTGGACTTTATATGGTCCCAGAAAGGATTTTGTTATTTTTAGGTCCTGTTATTTTTAGGTTCCCAGATCTGGTTGTTTTCAGTTTTTGGCAATTGTTTAATTTTGGAAATCTCCTGTGCTGGATGCACATGTGGCAGGGAGAGCAGAATGCTGGCAGCACCTTAACTGCTGGTGAATTGTGAAAGTAGAGGGAGGTTTTGTGGCTTCACCTTCTCAGTCATTCTTTACAACAGTGATAATAAGGCCAAAAACTTTGTACAATAACGTGCAGGGTTTTTGAAAATTTTTTTCCATTTTTCTGTTTCTTTAATTAAGCAGAGAAGTATCTGCAAGGCAGGTTGCTTTTTTGATTGTTTTTTTAACCATGGCCAAGGTTTCCAGTAAAATCCAGGAGCAGTGGGCTGCTGCAGCCTTATCTGGAGAGCAGTGACGTGGCCCTGCTGGGCCCTGTGTTCTCTGCCACCTCCTGCCTTTCCTGGGAAGGAAAACCTTTGCAGCCTCTAGTTTAAAAAGGCTCTTGCAAAGGCATTTTTGTGTTATTCCCAGCAAGGTTTGGTGCATTTAGGGAGGCTTGGTGTGTGTGAGTAGGTGAGGCTGTTGTGCTGTGTGTCAGGGCAGGTGGTGCTGTGCCTTCAGGACACAAATCCAGGGTCAGACTGCTTTTCCCAGTCTGTGATCACTGTCACCCCCAGATCAGGTGTTGTTAAATCCTCCTTGCCTGTGTTCCAGAGCACCAATGTGACCTTGATTGACCTTCCAGGCCATGAGAGTCTGAGGCTGCAGTTCCTGGAGAGGTTCAAGGCTGCAGCCAGGTAACCTGGAGGGGATCAGCAGGGCAGGAGGGGACAGGTGATCCTTTGGAAAGAGATAAACCAAATGATGGTGCTGGGAATGCTGTGAGCTGGCCTGGTGGTGCTTCCAGAGTCAGAGCTCTGCTGTGGGGGGGTGCTGGTTAATTTTTGCATTGCCTTCATGGAATATCCTGAATGGGAAGGGGCCCACAAAGATCGTGGAGTCCTGACCCTGCACAGGACAATCCCAAAATCGCACCATGAATTTCTGACTTACCTGTGCTTATGGTGCACCAGGAGGCAAAGCCACTGCAGCAGGGAGGCCTGGGGGGTGTGGGATATGCTGGGGCAGGGGGATATCCTGGGAGACAGGGGAAGAATTCCTGCTGGAGCTGGTCATGGGATGTATTTCATCCAGCACACGCTGCCAGCCTGCGCTTGGGCTGGGTGAGACCAGATGTGAAAAATCTCAGCCCAGGCTGGAATACCTGCAGGGAGAGGTGACTGCAGAGCTCCCTCCCCATCCCCTGTCCTTGCCTGTTGCCCCAGAGCCATCGTGTTTGTGGTGGACAGCGTGGCCTTCCAGCGGGAGGTGAAGGACGTGGCAGAGTTCCTGTACCAGGTGCTGGTGGACAGCACTGTGCTCAGGAACGCGCCCGCGCTGCTCATCGCCTGCAACAAGCAAGGTACCCTGGGCTGGGCCTGCAGGGCTCCCTGCTGCACCTGGGAGCTGGGATTGCAGCAAAATGAAGGGTAGAATTTAGGTTTAAACTCTGACTACTCAGTGGGAGTGTTTGGGAGAGCTGCAGCTCTTTGGGTGGGCGTAGGTGATGCAGGTGGATTTTGTGTGGCTTTTTCTGCTGGCTTTGTGCAGAGCTGTTCCTCAGTCTCCATCCAGCAGCAAGTAGGATCAGCTTAAGCACAGTGAACTATCCCTACACACTCAGCAGCTTTCAGGTTGAAATGTTCAGCAGCCAGGGTTCCATGTTTTCTCTGGAGTAGCCTGAATTCCCAGCTACTGGAAAAGACTCAATTTTCAGATTCCTACAAATTCTACAGTGAAAATGTGGGTCCCTGTGTAATAGTGGATTGTTTTGGGGCAGTATCTGAGTATCTGATCTGGGTTTTGTAGTTATTTCCTGCCCTAACTCGGGAGCTGCCTGAGGCCTTCATGGCACAGGTGGAAAGCATAGGACAGGAGTGAGTGCTGGTGCATCAAACCCATCCTCTGAAGTATCTTCCTGCCCAGAAAGAAGAAATTAATTCCCTGTCTTGTGTCAGATTGTTAAATTGTTCCCATTCACATCTGCTATCCCAAATCTCCAGCATCCCTCATCCCACTGCAGGCACAGCTGACCTTGTCCTGGTAGCTCCAGTGAGTACACAGTGTGAACTGGCTGTACTTTAGGGAAAGGAACCAGGTTCTGAATTCTGACAACCAAAGAGCTGATTTCCTTTTTTTCTCTTCAGATGTCACAATGGCAAAATCAGCAAAACTCATCCAGCAACAGCTGGAGAAAGAGCTGTAAGTATGGAATGGGATCTCAGTCCCTCTTGCCCTTTTTCTCTTACTTCAGTGAGCTCCCTTGAGTTCCCTGTGGAACTGGGAACAGCCTGTTTGGTCTGGGGCTTGGCAGTGCTGGGTTTGCATTGGACTCCATGGTCTCAGAGGGCTTTTCCAAGCTGAATGATTCCCTGGATCTATAACCCCTTTGGCCAGCAGACGGCAGCAGGGCTGTTTGTGCTGTGCCTCCTCTAGGCTGAACACACAACCTCCTGCCTTTTAGCACAGGAATTAGTTGCCACACATTCACATTCTGCAGGAAAATAAGCAATAAATTGCTTGTTCTGATGTTGAGCATTTGCCAACTACCTGTGTGTAGGTGTTGGATTTCTAGGGAGTTGTTGTGCCCTGTTAGGCACTGTTATTCCAGTGCAAATTGGGATAAGGATATCATCATCATCATCATCTGATTTCTGCTGTCCTTTATTACAAAACCAAACCTGAGTGTCCTCCTACTCCCCTGAGCCTCCCAGGGCAGTGCTGGGCCTTGTGTCCCTGGTGTAGCTGACACGCTGCTGCCACCCCAAACATCCCAGAGCCGTGGTGCAGGTGATTCTCCCCTGGTCCCCAGTTCCTGACCCTTTTCCTTCTCTCCCTGCAGCAATACCCTGCGGGTGACACGCTCTGCAGCCCCCACCAGCCTGGATGGCTCAGCCACAGGGGGCCCTGCCCAGCTGGGGAAGAAGGGCAAGGACTTTGACTTCTCCCAGCTGCCCATGAAGGTGGAGTTTGTGGAGTGCAGTGCTCGAGGCAGCAAGGGAGAGGAGGGAGAGGCTGACTTGGAGGCCCTCCAGAAGTGGCTGGTGAAGGTGGCCTGAACACAGATGGACAGGGATGGGGGGCTGAAGGGGAAAAGATGGTGTGGAGCACTCAGATCTCACCTTGATGTAAAAAGAAGGAACTTCAGCTGGAAGTCAGCACTGTGGTGTCTTCTTCTGCTGCTCCTGGGCTTGGGAGAGACCTGACAATTGCTGGTGTGATTCCCTCTGGCTGTCCCTTCATGCTGCAATGTTTTTATCCTCTCCCCTCTTCCCTTGACCTCCTCTGGGCTGCTGAACTTCTGGGCTTTTCTATTCCTTAATTTTTAAGCTTTTTTTTGTAGTTGCCAAGCAAATCAGGAAGGAGTGCAGTGGCAGGTGAGTTTTAGAGACTGGAGTGAGCCTTTTGTTTCCTGCCATGCTTTAGGCCCCTGTTGCTTCTCAGAGCCCTGACCACCTCATGGCTGGGGCTGCTGGGGAGCACTGCACAAGCTCCCTAAGTTGGGCAGGCATTGAGAGAGTACAAAAAGCTGTTTTCCTCTTTGTGTCTGCCTTCCCATTGTTCCAAACTGGTGCAGCCCCATTTCTGTGGGGCAGGAGGAGTGTGAAATGTCCAAACCAACCCTGCTTTACTCCCTGGGCCCAGCTGGGTGCCCATGTCTGCTGATTTCCTCTCTTGATCAGCTCCTGGGAGTTTTTCTTTAGTTGAGGGCTGTTCTGAAAGCTTCACTCTGCTTCTCCTCCCACAGGCAGGAACAAAAGAGTGGCAGAGCTACAGGGGGGTCGTGGCATGAAACTGTGAGATGGGCACACTTTCAGACCTGTACCTGCAGCTGGGACCTGCCAGGCATTTGCTGTGCAGTGGCTGCAGGAAGGGCTTGCTTTGTGTGTAATTAATTAGTCAGCACTTATGGCACAGTGAGAGGGAAAGCCAGGGAGCTGCCAGCACCGTGGGTGTGCTTCCTCCTTGTGGCAGAGATGCTCAAGGAAGAGGGGAAAGAAATGGGAGATTTTCCCAGTTTGTGTCTCACTGCACATTGCAGACTTCTAGTGCAGTATCATTTTTCCTTTGTGGCTTCCCCTGGTTTTTTTAGGATTTGGGGGTGACTGGCTCCTGGCACACCCTTTTTGTAGCCCTCTCTCCCCTGTGGTTTGATGCCTCCTTCATCCCTCAATTTATCTGTTGTGTTCTTTTCCTTCTCTGGGGCTTTCCCTGCCTCCCTGCAGCATTGCCAGGTGTTGGGAAGAGCAGGAACAGCCTTGAGCAAAGGCCTGTGCCTGTAATGAAGCTGGTCCTTGCATTTCCAGCCTCGGGAGCCATCCATGCAGGGGAGGGTAATATTTACCAAACATGTTACATTCTTCTCTTTCCTGCAGGCAGAGTCCTGTTGGAACCTGTTTGTCATGCTTTGAACTCCTTTAGCTGGAGGTCTTGGGCTGCCTGCTTCAAATCCATAATGCTGAAATGATTTTGGGCAAAAAATTGCTGTTTCTTGATGTGATTGTTCTTGCAGAGACGCAGAAGCCAAGCACCAGCCTCAGCTTAAGGGGGGAGGTACCATGAGGCCATAGTGGGTTTTAAGTTATTATTTTTAAAAATATTCCTTAAGTAAATTCTTTTATGCTTAAATGTTTGTTCTCAAGTCTTGCTTCAGTCTCTGTGTTTGCCTTGGCTCTTCCCAGAGGTGTCAGATCTACATGGATGGATGGGGCTCTGCTCCTGGGGATCAACCTTCCTATTCTGTGGCCAGCTCTGTGTTGTCAAAAAACTTTATTTTCTGCACACAGAGGGCTTTGGGGTTGGGTTTTCTTTTGGTTTTGTATTTACTTCTTGGTCTGACTAATTGAGAAATTGATAATCACATAGCAAAAAACGCCCACAAATCATAATTAAAAGGCACTGTGGTGATGTGCACAGGAAAGCTCCAGCCAGCTGTGGTGGCAGGGCAGCACTGCTGTGCCCTGGAGGTGGCTGTGCTGGATGGAGAGGAGATGCCTCAGCTTTCCTGGGCTGGGGAGTGGCTGCATGGCCATGGCTGAGCTGGGGCTGTGCCCAGAGCACAACTCCAGGAGTTTTTTGGGCCTCACTCCATGATTTTTTTAAATATTTAAATACTCAGGGCTGGTTTTCCCCAGTGGCTGAGGGAAGAGAGCAGAACTGGAAAGTCTGAGTGTTGTTTTCTTGTTTTTCTTGATTCCCCAGTCAGCTCTGTGCTTTGTTCTTTGCTCTCCTGACCTCGTTCCCAGCCCGTGGCTCTGCTGGCTGGGAGTGCTGCTCCTGAGGCTGCAGCTCAGCAGGGCTGTGTTGGGATGGCTTTGGCAGGACAGTGGGATGTGATGAACTCAGCCCCTTCTTGCTGCAGCTGCCTGACTCTGAGTGAGGAACCTGCTGTGTTCACACATCCCCAGGCACCGAGGCCCTCACTGTGCTGCAGCTCTTTGGGTCAATGTTTTTTGCTATGGATTGTACTCTCAATTGTTCCCCTGGACAAGACAGATGTTTTTGGAGGAGAATGAGGAGCACAGTGATAACTGGGATAGCAGAAAACCTGAAAGAGGAGGAGATACTCATGAAAAGGCAAAAATAACCATGCCTAGACATCAGCAACCCAAGGGGTGGTTTCTAAGGCTGCCCAGCACAGGTGCTCCAGCTGTTACCTTCCCTGTGCACAGAGCCACCACCCTGGCACCTTTAGGGTGCCAACAGAAGCTCCTGGCCCCATTTGGGCCCCCTTGTGCCCTTTGTGACCTGCCCCTCCTGGGGCGTGTCCTGCTGGGTGTGAAAGAAGGGGAGAAAGTTACAGAAGGTCAGGTGGGTGTTCAGGGAAAGTCTGCCAGGTGGAGGTGGAAAAGGAATAGGGTTAACATGGGGAGAGCTCTTTTTTGTGAGGACTTTGGTGATCCAGAGCAAATCCAGGGCAGGTCTGCTCTTGTCCTTGCTTTTCCCTCGACTTTCTTCATAAACATGAATGCAGCAGGGCCACAACCACAGGGACAGCAGGTAAGGACAGCAGGGTCTGAGTACATTAAACCCGTAAAACCCCTGAAAAAACACCCCAAACCCACTGTTCTCTATCCAGAGCCCCCTGCATTGAAAAAATTACAGCATTTTGAAGTAGCTCAGTACTTGACATAAGTAGCTGGACTTGTTAGGCCATGGGGTTGAACTTGTTGTGAAGCCTAAGGCTGTGCTGTGTCAGGCAGAGATGGATCAGAAGGAAACCAGGAGCTGACAGTCTGATCAATGATAATAGTAAAGATCATTAATAATAGTTAGAATGGGCAAAGCTGCAGTTAAAATACTACCTTAAAATGCAGGAGTAGTTGTGATCTGTGTATTGAAACGCAGTATGGGGTTCCATCACAGTGTGGACTGACAGAACCAACCAAAACCCACCTGAGGGGTGTGAAACAACCCAAACATCAACACATTGAAGGGTGAGAAGAACCCCAGGCTCTTGGTGTGAGGGACAAGGAATGAAACTTTTCAATTGCCAGGCATTTCTTTGTTCATGGTCCCTCCTCTGAGCCACCAGCTTGGGCAGCTGAGTACCTGAACTGATGTGTGCTAGCAAACCCATGGGGATGAGAAGCTTAGGTAAAACCTTCTGCTGTGCCCATCAGGGAGATGTGGGCAGGGCTCCTCAGCTGCCCCGAGCTCTGTGTAGCCCCTACCAGCCCTCCTCCCCCTCTGTCACCCTTTTTTCCCCTTTCCCAGCTGCTATGTGCTCAGCATGGCCAGGCTGTGACCTGCAGCATCCCCAGGGCTTTGCCTTGCTGCTGGTGGGGAACCCAAGAGCTCACCACGGTTGGAAAATTGACCTTTATTTAAAAAATAAAAAGAGCAACAAACCCCAGATGTTCTGCAATAAACCCCTCGTGCTGTCTTGTCCCAACACGTGTGCGGTGTCCCTGCTGACCTCTGTGGAGACACCAGGCTGGCAGCCACCTCCCCTGCTCCTGTCGCGGCCGGGAATGTCACACCGGAGCGGGACCATGGCCCGCAGCAGGCACTAATGCGGGTCCGGCTGTTCCAGCCCCCTCTGCCTCCTGCTCCGGCGGGCCGGGGCTGTCCCTGCCCGGGGTGACGGGCTGGGGACCCCGGGAGATGCCGTGCTGGCCCGGAGCATCCCTGGGCTGCGGGAGGAGTCGCTCCCGTGGCGAGTAAAACGAACCCAAACAAGATAAAGTAGTGGCAGTGGGTGATGGGGGTGCGAGTCAGTCCTCGGCGGCTACACCAGCCCCGCCGCCTTCTCCTGCACGTTGTACTCCTTGCTCCTCTTCACCTTCCAGCTGATGAGCGCCAGCAGCACGGTGCCCACCACCTTGTAGCCCACCTGCAGCCCCAGGTATCTGCCAGGAGAAGAGTCACATGTCACATCCACAGCTGGCACTTCCCAGGCTGGGCTGGGGCCCCTGCCCAGAGAGGGGCACACACAGGGTACCTGTTTCGGAGGAAATCGTTGTTGTAGTAGGCGCAGAAGCGGCCCGGGGCGCACTGCTGCTGCTGCCAGTAGATGCAGGAGGAGTCGATGAGGGCTCCGAACATGGCCGGAGCCGGCAGCCAGGCTGGCAGGGAGAGAGGATGGAGTCAGTGCTGATCCCGAGGAGGCTCAGTGCCTCCTGCAGCTCCCCAGCCTCATTCAGGGATGAACACTCACCCAGCAGTCTCATCAGCAAGAACTGGACTCCGATGGCGAACGACTTCTCATCCTGGTTCACCACCCTGCAGGGGAGAAGGCACAGGAGGTCTGTTGTAGTGTGTTTTTATACTTTGTAGAACTTTGTAATAGTTTTGGGTTTGTATCCCCATATTTTCTCCAAATGGTTTACCCCACAGTGTATCCCCTCCCTTTACCTGTGTAATCCTTTTCCTTTGCTGAGATCATCCCCAAATCCCACCCTGGCTCTCTGTCAATCACTCAGCATCCCATCCCCTCCATCTAGAAGCTTCGGTCCAGGATGTCGAGTGATCAGCCAGAGGCCAGGGGTCAGCCCCCAAGCCTTGCCCCATATGCTGTCCTAAATGTCCATCCCCCAGTCCCCATCCCTTAGGGTCACTTATTGGTCAGTAAAATGTTATCTACTTTCGGTTTCCACCTCCCTTTAAATGTAACCTTGGCACAGCTCCCGGGGCTCTCAGCAGGAGCCCCCTGAGCTGCAGGGGCTCCTTTGGGACTCCTAGAACAAAACCTTGGATTAACCCCTGCTAAGAGTCAGCGCTTTATCTTCTACCCACGTCTCCAGTGTCTCTTCTGCTGCAAAGGCGACCAGCCTAGGTACCCTCAGTACCCTCAGGGCACAAGAGAGTGTCTCCCTGCTGTCGGCTGTGTTGGGGTTCCTGAGAGGCTCCCAGAGAGACAGAGCTGCTGGCCCTGGATTTGGCCAAGACTTGGGCTGGTTGCACATTTATAATATCCCATTGATCCCAACATGGGAATTATCACATAGGCTCCACACACCACTCACCGTAACACCATCATGTACAGGGGGTTGTGGGACAGGCAGGCGACCAGGGCAGCAAAGGAGATGAGGAATATGGCAGGAAGGAGCATGCGGGAGCAGCTGACTGGACAAGAGCCCGTGTAGGTGGAGAACAGCTCATGCCCATTCAGGGAACAGTTGTGGTAGATCTGTTGGAGATGTTTGGAACAAAACACAGTCAGACTCCCAGCTCCAGGGGCAGCCTTCTTGGGACAAATCATCCCACATCCCTGTGCAGGACACCCATAAGAGCACCAGCTCCAGTTTTAAGGCACAGCCATGGCATCCTGTAATGGGATTTGCCACCATCCCTGTTCTTCCAAGGTTCTTGGTTCCTTACAGCAATTCTCCAGGGCACTTTCCCAGGGCTCAGCACACCTTGTGGGAAAGGCTCCACTCCCTTGTTGCATTTGTTGGGCTCCTACAGCATCACTCCACTATTCCCAGCAAGGCTGCTTGGCTAACCACTTGTTTTACTCACCTTTTGCCTGGGGTTGGAGGGGTTGGTGGTGCTGTTGGTGCAGCCAGCGAAGCAGGGGGAGATGTATTCCGTGGTGTTTTTCCAGCACACGGGGTGGAAGATCTGCTTAGAGCACTGGCACCCAACCCGTGCCTTAACCTGCGGCTGGGAATTGGGTGTACTGCCAGAAAGGAGGGGGGAGAAATTGGTAAAAAGTTAAGAAATAGGACAGGGGGAATTAAAAAAAAAAAAAAAAATCCCTTCTACTAGTTGAGCAGATTTCCTGTTCCTGTTTGGGCTGGGACACTGCCAGCAGCAGCCTGGCCTTCTGCCAGCCCCTGATCCCTGCAGGTACCTCTGGAAGCGTGCAGTGAATGTCACAGGAATTATGTTATGTCTACAAACAAGTACTGACACACTCCTTTTCCCTTTTTTTTTCTAAGCTGGAAATGATTCTCAGCCTGTAGAAATGGACCTGGGCTCCATCCAGAGCTGCACAAACAGATGTGTGAACAGCCACAGCTGGAAACACCACATGGACACAAACTGAAAGTGGGCACGTTCCCAAACAAGCCTGATGGCTGTGGAAGGGAAGAGGACAAACCCAAATCTGCCCTGTCTTCCCTCAGTCCCCCAAGGAGTGCATCTGCTGGAGTCTGAATCCTGCAGGAATGTGGTCCTGGGGAGCTGCCCTTGGGCAGGGTGGGATGGGGCTGCTCCACCCCACATGGGAAGATGGCATCAGAAATCTCTTCCTTGCTGGCAGTGCGCTGGGAAATGAGCTCAATGCACTTGACATCAAGCCCTACTTGTACACAAATGTCATTTTTATCTTAGGAAGTCATGGTAAGAGCCAAAAATATCCACTGAGGTGAGGAGAAAGATGATGTCCAGCTGGAACACTGGGAGCGTGCGAAGTGTTGTGGACACAATGTTACTAATTTTCCCCTAATAATCCAGAGTGAAAAATTACCCCCTGCTTGTTTGGCCCAGAAAATCATGGATAAACACCCTCCCAAGCTCTCTGGGCTCTGGAGCACCCAGATCTCCTCCCCATGCAGTGGGGATCAAGGAGCAAGAAGCGTCATGGTGACGTCTTCTGCCTCTCCACCTGCATGTGTCCCTCCCCATGGGTAAGAGCTGGAGAAAGGAGGATCTGGGAGCAGCCCCTGCATTACCTGGGGTGGTAGATGCCCTCGATGTGCCCTGTGGAGCAGCCCATGAAGAAGATGGGCAGGCAGATGAGGATGGAGAAGACGAGCACCACGACGGCGAAGCGCGGGATGGCACGCAGGGAGAAGGAGAAGCGCTTCATGATGATCCCGCCCAGCAGCATCCCCAGCGCTGCTGCCGGCAGGTTCACAGCTCCTGCAGAGGGATGGAGCCTTCAGGGGGGTCCTGCCTGCCCAGAACCCCTCCATGGGCAGGGCACAGCTCTCTGGGCCCCACAGGAGTTGGGAGAACACACAGATCCAACTCTTGTCCGAGATAGGCAGTGGGGAATTTAAGGAAAGTCACCAACTACCCCAAAGTGAAACCATCATCCAAAAATGAGCTTTCACTGACTTCTTTTCCAGGATTTAAAAAGCCTGGGGAATATGGGCAGTTGGCTCCCTGCTGATGGATATTTTTGCCTCCATCCATGCTCACCTATGAGGAAGTTGGCCTGGGAGGGGGAGGCACCATACTGCTTCTCCAGGAATTTGTTGAGGAATGTGGCCAGACCCGCAATGACGGAGGAGAAGCTGCACTGAGCCAGCACCAGGAGGATGAAGAGGGGGTTGAGCAGCAGCCTGATGAAGATCTTTGGGAATCCTGCAGGGGAAACGTAGGAAAAATGTCTTTTAGCTATTTGTACTGGGAATAAACCCCCACCCTTAGCCTGTTCCCAGTAAGGCTATCTGTGGGATGATGATGCTGAACTGCTGGGGATGTCTGCGGGCATGGGAAAGCAGGAGGGGAGACACCCTCATGTGTCCCAGCAGCTGGCAGCACCATGGATGGGACATTGTGTCCTCTGGCCCCATCAACAGAGGCAGATGGACCCTGGGAGCAGCTCTGTTTATTTGGTCTCTTATGAGCTTTCTAATTAGCCGAGAGTGGTGGAGAGCCAGCATCCATTAAAGCCCAAATAAAGAACAGAGAGAGCTGACAGCTCCAGGATGTGACTGCAGTGGAGGAAGAAGCAAGGAGGGAGGGGCTTTATCTGGGAAGAAATCCTCCTGCAGCTAAAAGAGTCATCAATCTGGTGCCTCAGCAGTGACATCCCTCTCAAGCCTGTTTTGGCTCCACATAAACAGCATCAGCTGCAGTGGGTGACCTCGCTGAGGAGCTGTGGCGCCAGCAGCCCCATGCCCACTCCTGGAGACCTCCCAGAGACTCTTTTCTGGCACACTCCTACTGTTTTAAGGTTCTCAGTGCAAAATTTGAAACAATTGAGGCCCCACAGAGGTCTGTAGGCAGAGGGAGGCTGTGCCCACCTTCCCCTGGTCCTTTCTCCCTTGTGGTGCTGGAGCTGATCCACACACAGTGCTCCCAGCAAACCCCCTTGGTGTGAACCTGCTGGAGTGGGGGTCCTCCTTTCTCCAGCACAGCCCAGCATCCCCATCCACCCTCTCCTGGCCCCCCAGGAGTTTACTTTTGATGAACTCCAGCAGGGAGGTGTCCTGGGCAGCCCCTGTCTCCATCTTCCTGAGCATCCCGGCCTCCGTGTTCCGCTCCTGCAGGGAGAGAGGAGCAGCCTGTGCTGACAGGGCTGGCCCTGTCCTGGCACAGGCAGGCTCAGCAGGGCCAGGGGCTGTCCCAGGGGCCTGTGATCCCCAGCCAAGCCTGACAATTACAGCAAAGCCACATCCCATGTTCCCTGAGCCCTTCTCCAGGCTGGGAGAGCTGGGAGTGTTCTCCTGGAGAAGAGGAGGCTCTGGGGAGAGCCAATTCCAGGGGCTAAAGGGGCTCCAAGAGAGCTGGAGAGGGACTTGGGACAAGGGCCTGGAGTGACAGGACAAGGGGGAATGGCTTCACACTGCCATTAGGGTGAGATGGGATATTTGGGGACAATTCTCGCAGTGCTGAGACTCTGGCACAGAGTATCCAGAGAAGCTGTGCCTGTCCCATCCCTGGGAGTGTCCAAGGCCAGGCTGGATGGATCTTGGAGCAACCTGGGCTGTAGGAAAGTGTCCCTGCCCATGGCAGGATGAGCTTTAAGGTTCTTCCAACCCAAACCACTCCAGGATTCTGTGATTAAAGGATTATCTCAAATATCACTTCAGCCCCTGGGCAGAGCAGCAAGACAACAGCTTGCTGTTGGGAGGTTTTAAGAGCTTGGAAATCTTTCCTCCCCTGACAAAATATCTCCCTTTTAACTCTGCAAAAAGTCTGAAAATGAAACTTAGAGATAGTTCAGCTCAAGCCCGGGGAGTCCTTCAACCATAACTGCGAAATATTTTGGGTTTGAATTTACCTTTAAAGAATCAATGAGTAAACAATTTTGAAACAGAACTAAAGTAATTTTGTAACAAAACCAGCGAGGTTTGGCTTTGAAAACACCAAAATGATAAACATTAATTATTTTCCACCTTTTAAAATTTGTTTTAATGGGAAAGGGATGCTGGATTGCCTTCCTCCCTCCCACCGCTCTCCTCTGGGGACAGGCCTTCCGTCCCTGAGCACATCCCTGGCTCTGGAGATGAGGTCTCACCTCTCCTTTCAGCATGCACCGAGGGAAGAAGAAGTAGGGGATGGAGGTGAGCACCAGGCAGCCCGAGGAGATGAGCAGCCCCAGCCACCAGGCTCCGATCCAGCGCTGGTCACTCGGCGTCAGCTCCACTGTCAGTGCAACACACAGGGACACTGTGAGAGATCCAGGGGTGACAGGGACACAGCTCCATGGGAATATGGGCTGGTGGAGCCTGCACAGAGTCACTGTGGGCACAACCCAAGGGTCTCTGCACTGGCATGTAAGAGAAATGGATGGAGGTGGGAGCTCCTACCAGTGCTGGCAGCAAGAGCAGCCCTGGCTGTGTTTGGCCTGTGCTTTCCCTGGCTAAGGAAACAACCACTGCCACTCATCCCAGCTGTACCAAACCTCCCAGGTGAGTGCAGGATGGATTTGGTCAGCATGGAAGCACACTGGTGGCCCAGGTTCAGCTCTAACCCCTGAGCCAACCAGTGACGCAGAGATTATGGGGGCCTGACTCCATCCTCTGCCCGGAGAACACAGTGGGTTGGACCATGCTGCTGACAGGGCTGCTGAGCCAAGACAGGGACTGGGAAAGGCTGTGCTGCTTTCCTGGAAAAAGTTGCTGTCCCATTGTTCCAGGCTGGGTCACTTTCTGCTCACAGGACCGAGGGAAGGCCCTGTGCTGGCAGAAGCTCCCGGTTTCCGAGTGCACCAAACTCCGGGCGCCTTCTCCGGAAAAAGGAGGAGAAGGTGAGAGCCTCGCTGTCTCCAGCACACACATCCTTTGGCTGGGCCAAGGGATGCTCATGAGAGGTCTGACAGATTGCCTGGCCTGCCTTGGGGACTCAGCTGCCCACAGCCAGGATGGAGCCATGGCCAGTTTGGGATGGAGCTCCGTGCCAGGGTGTGACAGGAGAGGAGCCCACACCCCTGTGGAACAATCAGCCCACTTCCCCAAACAGGAGCACTCCACTCTGGAGCCTGGACGTCATCATGGAGCGACCAGGAGAGGCTGCTAAATCCGTCTGCCGCTGTGGGGAAGGGGCCAAGGCTGTTTGGCATTTCCTGCCCACGTTCATTTATTATTCTTATCAGGCACCGGACAAAAATGTCAGGCAGGCTCTGATCTCTCTAAGGAAACACAGGAAAAGCCACGTTAATGATGGAGCTGGGGTGAATTCTTTAGTGATTAAGTTACCAGAAATAATAAGCACATGCCATGGATAAAGCAAATTGTCCCTGTGGTGGCGTCAGCTCAGCCCCTCGCTCTGCACGTGCTGGGGAGGAGGATGAGTACACCCAAGTTCTCTGTGTATCCATAGGGCAGTGCTTGCTCTGTGGTTCTCTTCTCCATCATGGATTCCTCAGGTTTCCCTGCTCCTCTCCACCACCACGCCGGGATTGTGGGACCTCCTCAGTGTGGTGGCAGCGGGCAGACCCAGCCATGACCTCCAGTGCAGCACCATGGGTTGGGCATTGGAATGTCCCTGCCCAGGGCTCTCCTTCAGTGGTAGTGTCAGGACCACCTGTATCTTATGAGGTGACAGAATCGAGTATGACTTTTCCAGGTCAGATCTTTGCAGGGTTTTGTGGGTCACAGGACTGGTGGCTTCTGTCACCTTTCATCTCAGAGTGACCTTGTGGCCCACAGAGGGTGTTTGGGGCCCGTGCTACCCGAGCAATACTCACCAGTGTGAACCCTCCCGATGTCCACGAAGAGCCGCAGCACCACGGAGCCCAGCAGGTATCCAAAGGCAGGGCCAAACACAGCAATGGCAAAGAGGATGGCTGGGAAAAGGGAGCACAGAGAGCCCCTGTGAGCAGGGAATTGTAGTTCCCATGCAGATGTGGCTTCTGTCTTCCCAGGAAATGCAGGAATGGTGGCACAGCACACAGAGGGGAGAAAGCACCCTTCCTCACAGTGAGAAGGTCCTCACTGCCCTGACACTGAAGGTGGTGTTTGTCTGGCAGAACAGAGGGGGAAGGCAGCTGCCTGAGGACAAATTCCCTCTGCTCTGCTGCCATCAAGGCTTTGCTGACACAATACAAGTAGTCAGCTACGTCATTAATATTCATGATATTCCTGAACCCCAGGGAGCAGCAGGGCACTAACATCCAGGTGATTGAGACCTTCGTGTCCTCTAACGTGCCAAGGGAAAAAACACATATTAATCCTCAGATTCAAGGAAAAATATTTTGGTGTAAACGTCAGGAGAGGTGAAAGATTCTGAGGGCAAAAAGGCCACCAGACCACCCTGGGTGTAGCTGAACCCTCCCATGCCAAAATAGATAACCCATAAGGTCAGAACATTTTCCTTTCATTTGTTTGCAATGACAGGATCCAAGTTCCCTCCTTGAGAGAAACTCTTCACACAACTTTCTCAAGATGTTTGAAAGGAGGTAATGAGCTTGAGCTGCATCAGACATAAAATGAAAAGGGAATTGAGGAGATGGAATTTCTGCTATACTGAGGCAACCCTGGAGCCATTCACCCTGACAGACATTCCCATAGCACCAATATTGTAAACAACACATCAGTCCCTCTTTCCTTCCTCTTTAGAACCTTTCAGGTTCCTTCAATACTCTTTCCTTTGTTTTCCTTGCAGATTTGAGAATTCTAAGGGATCAGTGGGACAATTCATTGGACAGTGATCCCTCACTGCAGAGGGAAGACAAGGATACTGGAGCTTGGAGGAACCTGGGATAATGGAAGGTCCCTGCCCAGGTGAACCTGGATGAGCTTTCAGATCCCTTCCCACCCAAACCACCCTGGGATTCTGCGAAACAAAACACTGCACAGCAATGTTCCCACTTACCAACATAGAGTGGGGAATTGTTGGAGTCTGCAAAGTCATCCACATAGGATATCCCAAAGGGCTGGATGGGCACGGTGCCAATCCCAGCCAGCAGCTGGGCAATGACCATCATGGCCCACACGCTGCTGGCCTCCTTCTCTGGGTCCTTGGTGCTGTTTGAGCACACAAATCTGCTCTCTGCATAGCACAGCTCGTCCTGCCCCTGGCTTTTGTTACCTGGAAGGGGAAAAAAAATGAGCATTCCAACACTGAGTACTGTATCCCCTGCCTCCTCCCACACTAAATCCCCAAATAGCAGGAATCTCCCAAACTCACTGAGTAGGCACAAACTGCTGGATTTTGGATGGATTGCTCATTTTATTCAGCAGTTCTCATCACCCTGTACTTCCTTTGCAGTATTATATGAGGTCAGCAAACAAACAGACTATGATTTGAATCACACTTTTAAAGAGTTCCATGGTTTGACGAGGGCAGAGCTAACTCATGGCTGGTTTTTGCTGTCTCTGCTCCCTTGTGGTACCCAGGCAGGAGCAGCGAGTGATGCCCTCTGGGGTCACCTGGCTGCCCTAAGCAGAACACCCTGCCCTGAATCCCTGCTGTCCCCACGGCTCAGGAGTGGCCCAGCTCCTTCCAAAACATGGCCCTTGCTTCTTCATACAGCCCAGACACCAGGGGACTTCACCCTGCTCCAGACTGCCATAGAAACTTCCACCAGGACTGAAGTCTCTTCAGGGGCTGTTCACAGACTGAATATGTTCTTTGCCATCCGGCAATCCTCATAATGTCAATATCTCTGCCCTGTCCATCTGGTTTTGCAGTCCATCCTCTAATCCTATTCAGTTTAGGAAAGTTGTTCTGAAAGAATTGTGTTCTGTGCAGAACTTTTGGGTCATTTCCATTCTGCATGGAAAAGTGAGCTGTCATTGTTCACATGAGCTTGTTCCCCAAGCCTTCCCAGTGAAAGCAGCAGCCTTCCTTGGGCTGGATCAGATCAGGATCCTGGCCAGAGCAGAGCATGGGGACAGGGGAGCTTTGCTATATCACAGAATTCCAGAATGCTTTGGGTTGGAAGGGACCTTAAAGCCCATCCAGTCCCACCCCTGCCATGGGCAGGGACACCTCCCACTGTCCCAGGCTGCTCCAAGCCCTGTCCAGCCTGGCATTGGGCACTTCCAGGGATGCAGGGGCAGCCACAGCTGCTGTGGGCACCCTGTGCCAGGACCTCACCATCCTCACAGGGAGGAATGTCTCCCTCATATTTAATCTAAACCTACCATCTCAGAGAAACTGTGGCTGCCCCATTCCTGGAAGTGTTCAAAGACAGACTTGGAGCCACCTGGGACAGTGGAAGGTGTCCCTGCCCATGGCACGGGGTGGAATGAAGGGCTTTAAGGTCCCTTCAAACTCAAGCCATTCCATGATTCTGTAACAACAGCTGGAATAACATGTGCAGGAGAGGCAGAAGAAATCCCACATGCAATTTTGGCATTCAGAAGGGGTTCCAAAGCTGTAATGACATCAGGTTTGACCAGCAACTGCCCCACCTTAAGGCTCTGTGTGAATCACGCGTGCCCTGGAAACACCCCCTTGCTTTGGGGGGCAGTCCCACATCACCCCTCTGGAGCAGCTGGTGCGGGTGTGTGGGGGCCCAGCCGGTGCCACTCACCCGTGCTGAGGGCAGTGTACTCGTAGGGGCCCGAGAGGAAGTGTGGCAGGGTGACCAGGAAGGCGCCCAGCGCCAGCAGCAGCCCGCCCAGGCCGATGACGCGCGGGCGGTGCACGCGGCTGCCGAAGTAGCTGACAAAGATGATGAGCACCACGTTGCCAATCTGGAAAAGGCACAGAGAACGGGGAGGAAGGTGAGAATCCACACAGAATCACAGAGTGATGAGGTTGGGAGAGACCTCTAAGATCATCAATGTCAGAACTCAGCACATCCCTCCGGGTGTTCAGAGCTGCCAGGCCCTGCCAGAGGGCTCAGAGACCCTGGCACACAGCCCAGAGCACCTGGGGATTTGATTGTGACCCTTGGAGCAAGTTACCAGCTTTGTATGAGGACCTGAAAGTCACAGAAGCTTGGATAGTATAATAATAAAATTATCACAGGGTGAAAATGTAGATTTTGGGATTTTTGGAATGGGGGTTTTGGGGACAAGATGGAGGAACTTGGGCATGTCCAGCCTTTCTTCTTCTTCTCCTTGGCTCCATATTTTGCTGTGATGTTGGCACTTTGGGACTGGTTTAGAGTAGAAGTTCACTCACTGTCTAACATAGGTGATAGGAGTTGGGAATTAAGTGTAAATATGTTATAGGTAGTTTGTAGTATAAAAGGACAACACCGCCTCGAGGGTGGTCAGAGTGCCTGTGGCTGCCCTGCTGAGCAGACCTCAGCTGGACAGAAAGAAAATAAACATTTATAAATAAGAATTTTATAAATAAGAATTAATAAACAACTTCAAGACCGAAAACTGAAGAGCTCTGACTCGTTCTTTGGACGCACGGGCTGAAACAGAGACATCCTACACATCTCGGGGCAGCAATTAACAACTGAACTCCAAGAGGTTGGAAAAACTCTCCAAGACCGTCAGGTCCAACTGCTCCCTCAGCACTGCCAAGGCCACCCATGTCCCCAAGTGCCACATCCACGCATCTGTTAAACCCCTCCGAGGATGGGGACTCCACCACTGCCCTGGGCAGCTGTGCCAGGGCTTGGCAGCCCTTTCTGGGAGGAAATTTTCTCTCATACACAAACTAAACCCCCCCTGGCCCAGCTTGAGGCCATTTCTTCTTGTCCTGTCCCTTGTTCCCTGGCAGAAGAGATTGACTGATGTGGCATAAACTGACAATTCCTCCAAAACCAGCAAGGAATGAAACACATTGCCTCCACTCCAGTGACTCAAACGGACATGAGCCCTGCTACAAAGTCCAGCTCACTGCAAATATTTATGACCCTGGGCATTTGCAACTGCAGACAGCATCAACTAGAAAGCCATGAAACCACACAGCTTGCTCAGGCAAGTGGGTGAATACCACAAAATTCCCATTACAAGGGCTTTAACAGGACAGCCTAAACATCATTTTAGCTCTGGCATGTTGAAGCTGTCCCTGCTCATTGCAGGGGGTGGAGCAAGATGGCCTTTAAAGGTCCCTTCCAACCCAAACCACTCTGTGATTCTATGTATGGCTAAGAAAACTCTGTATTTATGTTTGTGTGGGCTCCCTTGTTTGTCTCTCTGTGGGTTTTGTTCTTGGAATTGCTGTAGGCAATGCACTAAGATTGCTGTCCTGGACAGGCAGGGCACCTCACACAGTCACAGACAGCAGGAAGTCTCAGCGGGCCCTGAGACATCTTTTCAATCCCAGATGTCCATGCTGGTTGAGGTAAGACCTCTTCCCCAGGGATCCAGGAGGATTCCCAGTGTCCAGATTCTTGATGGAGCATCCCTGTGCTCACCAGGGAGCTCATGAGCAAGTGTGCTGCCACTTGGTGCCAGCAAAAAACTCCCAGCCAGCAGATCTTTTCCTGTCATTTCCCAGGCCTCGAAGAGCTGCTAGGAAGGACAGAATTCCTGGAAATGTGAAGGAGGAAACTCATTTCAAGGGATTTCTTGATAAGAAAGTGTTTGTGAGAAAATCCTCAGGCGGCTCAGCAATATGCCTTAAACAGACAGAGGGCAGGGTTAGGTGGGATATTGGGAAGGAATTCCTCTCTGTGAGGGTGGGGAGGCCCTGGCACTGTTGCCCAGAGAAGTTGAGGCTGCTTTTGGATCCCTGGAAGTGTTGAAGGCAGGGTTAGATGGCGTTTGGAGCCACCTGGGATAGTGGAAGGTGTCCCTGCCCATGGCAGGGGGTGCAATGAAATGGGATGAACTTTAGGATCCCTTCCAACCCAAACCATTCTGGAATTCCATCCAGTGTAAGTCTGCTCTTGTCCAAGGGCCACCCCCACAGGACCCCCCATTCCCCCTGGACGTGGCAGAGCAGAATGAGGTGTGAGGAGGTGTCCCAGGGCACAGCACAGCTGCTCTCCCAGCACAGGGAGCCCGAGGAAGCCCTGGCTGTGAGCAGCCCTGCTTTGGGAAGGTGTCACCCAAATCCTGGCCACCCTTTGGGTGCTGCTGCCCCAGTTACCTCGTGCAAGCTGGAGATGAAGCCTGAGGAGAGGCTGGAGAGCCCGAAGCGCTTCTCGATGGTGGTGAGGCTGCTCTTGAAGTTGGCGCTGTAGAGGAGCTGGGAGAGCTGCAGGAGCCCATGGCACAGCACAAACACCTGTGGGCAAACAGAGAGGGACACCCCAATGAGGACACAGCAGGAATCACAGACTCAGTAAGGCTGGAAAAGACCTCCAAGGCCATCAGGTCCAACCTTGGACCAGGTACTGCCATGCCCACTAAACCTTATTGAGAAGTGCCACATCTACTTGCTGTTTGGACACTTCCAGGGATGGTGACCCCACCACTTCCCTAGGCAGCCTGTTCCAATGATTAACCACTCTTTCAGTGAAGAATTTTCCCTGATATTTGATGTGGGCCCCTCCATGCACCCTTTGAGGCCATGTGAGACCACAGTGCCCTGCTGCTGTGTGACTGCTGGTGACCACATCCTGATGAGTGTATTCCAGCTGGCTTTGGCCACTGGCAAATGCACCTCTGGCATGGAGCATCCTGCAATTCCCTCAGCTGGAAAGTCAATTAACTGAACCTGCTCCAAGGGATGTTGCTAGAAAAAGTCAAAAAAGGGTGTTAAAAGCCCCAGCGGGAGAGGATGAAATATGCACAGCGTATTTCTCACTACTGGAAGATTCCAAAATAGGATTCCAAACCCAGCATTTTCCCTTGAGCTGGGCAGTGAGCTGAGCCAGGAGCCAAGGTGAGCAGAGGCAGAGGAGGGAACACAGAGAATTTGGGAGCAATCTGGCTGAAATAGCCTGGGTGGGCTGGGAGAGGAGAGCTCTCTCAGCCAGGGATGCAAGAGGCAACTCACAAGTGCCTTTTGATCTATATTTAGTCAGAACAGTTTTCCTTTATTTTTCTTGGAATGGAATGTATCCACGCGGTGCCAAAAGCATTTTAAAATCAATTTTTGAAAATCCCAACAAACAAATAATAATAATAAAAAAAAAACAGATGGGAAAAGATCTTTTAATTTAGATTCAGAGGAAATCAAATATTTGCTGAATACCGGAAGAGTGTCCCTCAATGATAACATCGGGAAGGGCAAGATGATGGAATGGGGGATCAAAGGGCTGACAGATTCCTGATGTTCTTGGCCAGAACAGCAGCAATAGTCCTTATGAGTATTTATCTGGAAGGGCGGTAGCACCCAGTAGTCCTGACCCATTAAATGATAAAAAAAAATAATCAAAAAAGACCAGCTTGGAGGATGCAAATTCCATCAGTGGGTGGAGTTGTGTTTAGGGAGCAGGGGATGGTGCATGGCCAGGCCCAGCAATTGTAGCAGAATTTGGGTAGAAGATGTGCAAGAAAATGGTTTCTTGGGAGTCTTCTTCTGTGAAGGAAGAGAGATTCAGGCAACAGACTTGGCTGGGAATCTAAAAGCATAAGGGATGGGAGAGACAGAAAAAGAGAAGAGGATGGAGATGAAGGAGAAAATGGAGCCCTGGCAGTGTGAGGGCAGGCTTGGAAAACCCTTGAGACCATGGGGAAGATGAAGGAGAAAGGCAAACACCCAAAAATGAGGAAGGAAGGATCACAGGCACAAGCTACCATCATGGAGTCCCCAGCCACATCTAAGAGGGATGAGAGCAGACAGGCTGGCATCAGGCTGGCACCAGGCTGGCATCAGGCTGGCACTGCCATTGCAATAACCAGGAGAGGACAAAGTCCCAAGCCGGGACTTTGCCCCAACAAAAAGCTGCAGAACAGGAATTTGGGGTGTAACGTGGGAAATCCTCCCAGACAGGGCCAAAGTGGAAGTGAAATATCTGCCAGTAAACTCTTGAAGATGAATGACCTCTCCATCCTCCCACCATCAGCTCCCACACTTGAAATCCCATCCCAGGACAAAATCCTGTGGGTGGGAGCCGGATCCACCACTTCCCCAGGCCTGGCTTGGAATCATCGTGGGTTGATCTGGAGCAGAGGGGTGAGGATGGCAGCCAGGGAGGGGATCTTGCTGCCAGAGAACATCAGTTTGAGTCCATGTGGCTCTGGGCAGGCTCTAGAGAAGGCACTGGAGCAAGGAAGTGCTGGTTGAACAGCAGCGGTGTGGGAGCCCCAGAGCAGCTGGACTCAGAGCTCTCCTGCAGGCAGGCGCCAGCCAGGGAAGCTGAGCTGTTTACCAACAGGGAGGGAAGAGGGTGGATCACCAAGGCTGAATTTAGCACAGCAAATGTCAGCCTGACCCCAGGGCAGATGGGAACACAGAGTGTCACGGACAGAGGGGATGCTGGCACGGAGGGGAGATGAGGAGGAGAGGCAGCCTGGCTCCTCAGAATGATGGGGGTGGCAGGAGATGGGCTGGAGGCATGGAAGGACCATGGGAACCATGGCAGGAGAGGAGAGGAGAGGGACAAGCCATGGGAGGGAAAGGCAGAGCTGCCAGGACATACCCTGAGATGTGTTCATGCCTTGCTGATAACCTGGGATGGCCAAAACAGAGCCCTGGCTCCAGAGATGCCTGGGAACAAGCTGGGGCTGCCTGCCAGGAGGGAAGATGAGGCAGGAGAAATGCAGCTGGAGAGCACCAGCAAAGGGAGGGGAAAGCCTTGCGGTGTGACTGCTTCCCCCTGCCCGTGGGTCCTTCTAGTGCAGCTCCTGTCTGCAGGATGAACCGGAAAGGCGGCAAAGCCTGGATGCTCCCGGGATGTGGGATGGGATCCCACCCTGAGACCACACAGCAGCCTCAGCCCGCGGATGTGCGGAGCTGGGAATGGGAGGGGAAGGGCAGGGGTGATTTTTTTTCTTGGGAAGAACCTGCCACCCCAAACAGCCAGAAAAGGCAAAACAACCTTTGCTCCAGGACTTGTGCAGTGGAGTCTGGCTTTTCCAGACACACTCCAAGCATCTGGAGGTGACATGAGGTCTGATTCAAGACTTCCTTGGAACTCAGCAGACTCAGTTTTAATTATAATAAGGACATTCTAAACCTTGAAGGCTCTGAGTGCAAAAAACTGGGAGAGGACCTTACTTGGAGGGCTCCCCAGAAGGAGTCCCTGCACACCCTGAGGCTGGTGGACATGAGGGGCACCATCCTCCTGCCTCTCCCATCCCTGTCTCTCTTCCCACGTGTTCCCATCCCCACATGCTCACACTGACCACCCACAACCTGCCGGTGTACGGAAACCAGCCCCATCCCAGCCCTTCCAGCTGCTCCAGATGTGCTGTGCTGCCCCAGGAGGGGAGGGAGCTGCCCTAATCCATCTTCCCCGATGACAAGAAGGGGCTCTTCAGGAGGAGCTGGGCTCGCCGGCGGGAGGTTTGGCTGACGCAAAGCCGCGGTGGGAGGCTGAGGAGCTGGGGCACTCCCAAGCGCTGACCCTCCGGAGCAGAGGCTCCCACGGGAGCCTGGAGCATTTCTGGAGCTGCAGGCAAACAGGGCAGACAGGCAGGGAGCAGCACAGGAAGGCCAAAGGCGCGCGCCCACGTGGATGGACCTCCCCAAAATCCCCTCGTAATCGTCCCCGCGGTTCTTTCGGAGCAATCCCGACTCCAGGCTGTTTGTACAAGGCACTTGACTCCCTTCCAAAAGGAGCTGCAGTTAGAAGGGAAGCAAACTCCTGGGGGACACAGGCTGCTGCCCCCACCCAGCTCGTGGGACCAGCGCCTCCCCAAAAGGGCAGAGCTTTTTCCAAAGGAAGAGAAACCCACCCCATGGCACAGAAGGGGAAGGACTGGTCCTTCCATGAGAGCTGGCAAGGATTCAGTCAATCCCAACCTAGACTTCCATCTGAGATGTGTCCAACAAATACTCAGGTTTCATTTCAACCATCTCTATGGAGCCTCCAGGGATCTCCAGGAGTCAGGATAAGGCTCTTCCAGGTGGGAGCCTAACTCTGCTCTGCGGATCCTGCTACGCGTGGCATGGCCATTGCTCCAGCTGGAGGAGTGAGTTAAGGGTTAATTCCTTGCTCTGCTTCCACAGTTCCTGTTCAAATTCATCCCTCACCTCATTTTTCAGTGTCTTCCCCTTGGCAGCCCTGGTTGGAGATAAAGAGGGTGGAAAAGACTCCAAGCTGCCTACCTCTGGAGTCTCCCTGTGCTTTAATCTCCTGAGCTTGCAAGAGAAAAAAAAGGAAAAGGAGGGGGAACTGTAGGAATTAATAAGAATATCCCCAAAATTTTAACAGGGAGAAGACAGAATGTTTATTTTAGAGTAGTAAGATCAACTCTTACTACACTGGGAGATCCTCCAGCTGTAGGACAGCTGAGGACACCCAGCCCAAAAGAAATATGTCAGCTGGATATGGAAAGTGTAGGGTTAGGGTTAAATAGAGTGGGGAAATACACAATATATCCCCCCTTGGCATCACTTTCCTATGGGTAGCTGCCTGGATTTGTAGATCAAGAACTACCAAGAAGGATGAAAAAAAAGCACAGCATTTCCACAAAGGGAACGAAACACCCTGCACAGAGCCCATCCTTTGGCACAGAACCTCTGAGCCTGGCCTGATGGCAGAATTTGGCTTCTAAGTGGGATGTGTATTGCAAATAATAAAATAATGTATAAAGTAACCTGATCAGGGATTGTCTGAAGCACGCTGGAATGACGACTGTCTACTGCCAAGCCACGCATGTTTTACACGCCCAGCTGTCACATGCAAAGACAATATTTGCTCTTTTTGCAACAAACACACACACGGGATTTCCTGGCACTGCATCCCTTCCCAAGGCCCAGGTGAGCCCAGCTTTGCCCAGAATGGAGGGTTTTGGCTGCAGAGCATTGCTCAGGCAGACCCTCAGTGTGGGATGCTTCCCGAGAAAAAACCCCCCTCAAAATAGGATGCTGGGCATCCCTCAGCCTCTCCTCCCTCTGGCAGGGTGGTTGGTTGGTGTTCCTTCATTCTTTCCTGGAGGTCTCTTTTCATTGTGGGCCATCAGGACCCACTGAGGGTTTCCCTGAGGCAGGTCCAGGCTGGCAGTGCTGTGCCTGACCCACAAGTGTGTGCAAACACTGCTCCTGCCTGCCCGGCCTCGTGCTCCCTATCAGCGTCACTCCTCTCCCGTCCTGCTCCCATAATCTTATCTACACTGACCACTCCTTGCTTGTGTTTGGGCACCCAACCACCTCGCCCCTCATAAAATTACCTTGCCTCAGGTCTCCTAGACCTTGATCCCACTAAACTTTCCAACCCATCTTTTTCCTCATCCCACTGCTGGTGTTGCTGGTGGAGACCCAGGTGGTTCTTCCCTTCTGGAGCCTGATCCCACCAAAAGCAGATGTGAGCATAGTGTTGGACCATCCAAGCCCAGCACCATCACCACAAATGCTGGAAGACCCTGGTCCTTCTTCTCCTGTCACTGAGGACCCTCCTGGTGTCTTTGCCACAAACACTCATCCAGCCTGCACAGTGCCCAGGATTGCAAAATTGCTTTGATTTTCCAGCTTACATCAATGGCTCTAATCAGCCATCACTTTCTCCTTTCCGTGTTCCCCTCTCCAAACCTACAGCCACGTTGCCTCCAGATCTGTGCCTTGATAAATCTCCTGTTCTGGCTAAACAAAGACATTAATAATCTTTTCCAACAGGATATGAGAGAACAACTGGTACATCTCCAGGCTTCTAGAGTACACTCCTCAGCAAATTCCTTTGGTCCCTTGGAAGGAAGGGACAAAAACTTGTCCTGCTGCCGTTGGGACCTCAGACCCCAGGGCCAGGCTCTGTTTCCTCTGCAGGAGACATCCAGCCTCCCCAGGGAGGTGAGAGCTCCCTACTCTGCTCCCTGCTCCCAGCACCTTCACCCCAGGATGCTTTCAAGCCTTATCACACTCTGAGAGCCCACAGTCTCCTCCTGAAGTCCCCTCTCCTCCCCTCTTCCATTCCCTCCCTCTCCTTCCCCCAGTTCAAACCCAATTTAAACCTCTCCTAAGGCTTTTAAATCTCTCTCTGGATCACCTCTGGCTGACATAAGTGAGAATAATTCTCTGTTGTCCTCCTGTTTCCTTTTCCATGCCAGGCATGGAAAGAAAGCCTCCCCCTGCCTGCGCTCACAACACTTTCACACTGCTCCTCTGTGCTCCCCAGCTTCCAGCTGAAACCAGTCCAGCTCCTCTAAATCAAAAGATATTTATAAAGCTCTCCTGCTTGTCATCTTTCTGGGGATCCCAAAATCAATTAAAATAGTTCAAAACCACGAATGAGACAGTAAAGGCGAAGAAGCCAGAATAATTGAGGCTCTGTAAACAGAGAATTCCTGTGAAATAATACTTCTCCAGTGGTTGCCTGGGAGCAGAAAATGGACACAGAATCACAGCCTCATTAAGGCTGGAAAGGACCTCCAAGATCATCAAGCCCAAGATGAGCTTAAATCACATGGCTGGGGCTCAGGACTGGGGGACACTGGTGGTGTCCCTGGCCATGGGTGGGTATCAAAAGCTCCTTCTCCATCTTTCAGGCCTGTTTCAGTCCTTTAGGCTGTGAGGCTCTCGGTGTCCCCAGTCCCACCAGGTGCTGGCATCCACCTGAAGGTTGGGCTCATACTGCATTTGCTGAGCAGCACAGCTGCGAGTCCCCAAACCCAGTCAGCACGACCCTGGCAGCTCTGGTGAATGTCCAAGCAAAGGGATCAGAGAAATCATGGGATGTTTTGGGTGGGAAGGGAGCTTGAAGCCCATCTCATTCCACCCTCTGGCATGGGCAGGGACACCTTCCACTGTCCCAGGGTGCTCCAAGCCCTGTCCAGTCTGGCCTTGGACACTTCTGGGGTTCCAGGAGCAGCCACAGCTTCTCTGGGCACCTTGTGCAGAACCTCAGCATCCTCACAGGGAACAATTTCTCCCCAGTATCCCATCTGAATGTCCCACCATCACCATCCCCATGTCCACCAGGGCTGTGGGAGTACCGGGATGCTCCAGGTTTGCGGCTGAGCTCGGAGCTCAGCAAAACCACCCAGCGCCAGCACCCGCACCCGCAGGAGTTTTGTGCTCTGCTGTGTCTCTTGCAGGGGATGAGGGTGGGAGCAGCGGGCAGCACTCAGCCCGAAGGCAGAGCAGGGCTGGCTCAGCCAGGAGGCACGGCCGGGGCAGGCGGAGCCCGGCGCTATCAGCAGGGACCAAGCCTGCTCTGTGTCACAGACCCAGTGTGACCGGCAGTGACTCCGCAGCACCACGCGGAACCGTCACACCGGGCTCCAGAGCAGCTGGAACCGCACCTATCCAACCCACGGCCACATCACATCCACCGGGAATTGCTTCCTGAAGCGCAGCTGCGCCGCTCCTGCATCCCCAGGACTCCAACCCCATCCCATGGAATCCCCCAAACTGCCCCTTTCCACCAGGACTTCTCCCTCCCCGGTGCCCATCCCTGGCACCATTGTGTTCCCACACCTCCAAACATCACTGGCTCTGGGTCCAGTTTTCCACTCCTGGAAAACACCCAGAGAGAGATGGGGTCTGGTACAGGGGGTGGTGGTCCCTGCCACAGGCATCATGGAGGGGCGAGATGATGGAAAAATTATTTGTTATTTCAGCCCCAGCACGGCAAAAGACACCCTGGATATGATCCCATCACATGGGCTTTGGGGATTAAATATGAGCTTAGTGGTTAACTCTTCCAAGTCTTAATTGTGTCCTTCCAGGCCTGTTAAATGTAGGGAATTTTGTTGTGTTGGAAATGCTGTCCCCATCAGAAGCTGCCATGCCTGTGTGAGGATGTTGTGTCTTACAGCTCTGGGGAGGGTGATGTCCACAGCTTCCCATAAAATCTGGGGCTGGATGAGGCTTTTTTATAATCCATCATTCATAGTAAAGTGGCTTCTTGTACAAATAACAGCTACAAACCCTTTCAAAGCCAGATGTTGGCCACACCTTACCCTCTGATGACCATTCACTCCAAAACTACCCAAAATAGGAAATTCCCCACAGTGGAAATTCCACTGTGACACTTTATTATACTACTCATTTTTGGGGGCTGAGGGAACTGACACTGCCCCCAGGCTAATCCTTTCTGACATGAAGCAGTTCTTTTGCTAATGTATATGTTTTTAATGCAAATGTCACAGGACAGGAAGAGTGAATAGGTCAGGAAAGGGTGGGGGATCTTGTTGCCTGTCAATTTATACATTTTTTCTTAAAAGCAGGAATATTTCTCTGAGGGATGGGTGTCCTGACTGCCCACCATCCCAGATGGAGCACATCATCCCTCTGATGCCAACGAGCTTGTTTGGGTAGAGCTCAAACTGTTCCTTCACGTGCTTTCACAGTGCCACTGCCAGACTGCTGACTCTCTAAACCAGAAACAATCCTAAACTACAAGTTTTGAAGTAAAAACTTTAAAAAGTAGTTTCAAAGCTTTCCTGAAGGCAATGGTTTTGCTGCCACAAGCAAAGTGACACTCCCAAGTCATCTGCCCTTGGCCAGATGCCCCTACAAGGTCCCATCCAAGCGCCCTGGGGCATGTGGGGTGCTGAGCACCCAGCCTGGCCCTGGGGCACCCACACCCCACAACCTGAGGCTGCCTGTGGGCTGTACAGATGGAGCAGCGCTTATTTGTTGGGGCTTTTGTTTTTAATCTGAAAGTTTGACATCCTGCAAGAGGGTTTGGCAATGTTTTTTCACTCCAGGCTGTTTTTGCTTGCTGCCAGTTGCCAGAAAAGAGCAACAACTGCAAGAAGGGCTCTGGTTTTGGGTGACTTTACTCACCCCAGCTCAGGGTCGTTACTGCAGCAGCCTGGAGGGGGCTGGAGGCAAATTTTGCACTTCCAGCAGAGCAGAGGACAGGTCAGCAGTCCCCTCCAGAGGAACATCAGTGTAGCCCAGGGTAATCTCAAGCTCTTTCTCCTGGAGCCCACAGCCAAAAAGCGCTATCAAATCACCTGCTGGAATAGCCCAGCCTGGGCAGAGGGGACCTTCAGGGGTATGGGAGTGGGAGGCACCATCTGGGATCAGCCCGTGGTACCCTATAGCATCCCACAGAGCCCCAGCACAGCCCGGGGAGCAGCACCGTGCTCCGTGCAGGGTGCTGGCAAACAAACCCCAAACCCACTCCGAGCACGACACCTTCTCCACGGCCACATATCCTGAAAACCTCTGGGCTGGGAAGAGCTGGCACAGCACACAGCAGGAACAGAGGTGGGAAAGCACAGCCCGGCACGGAGGGTCCTGCCCGCCGGTGCACCTGGCACATCCCGGGCACATCCCTGGCACATCCCAGGGCACATCCCCGGGCAGCGGCCGTTCCCAAAAACAGCTCACGGTGCCCGTGCGAAGAGGAGCTGCCAGGGGAGGATGGAAATCCCCCCTTCCTTCCAGGGACATCCCAGGGACAGGAACCAGCACGGGCAGCAGCCTCGGGGAGCATCCAAACGCGGGGCAAAGAGCGGGGGGGGAGGAAAGGCAGGTGAGGGGTGGTGTGAAGGCAGCGGGATGGGAAAGGTGACACACGGCTCGGGTGAGCAGTGTGCTCTCACACCAGCAGTCAGCTCAGGAGCCTGGAGCTCAGGCAGGGACCGACTCCCAGGTGAGGAACTGGGCAGCCAGACCTGAAAACCCACCGAGTTTTGTTTCTGTCACCCAAAAGCTCTGCTCTCGCAACTTTTTAAAGCAAGCCAGTGTTATTCCGAAAGAAAGCAGTGCTTTCTTCTCACACCAGGATGTGGTTAATCATTCCCCGAGCAGCAGCACACCGTGTACCAGAGCCGTGGGGAAGCTCACGGAGAGCTGCTCCATGGGGTGAAACACCCACGTGCCGAGCAGGGCATCACTCACAGAGCCCCCCAGGACTGCCCCGGGAGCTGGAATTCAAATTCTGCATCACCAAACCCCCCTGGTTTCACGGGGGTGCCTGGGGTGGGCTGGGGACAGGGCAGGACCCCCCTCCCTCGCCGCCAGCATCCCTGCCCCATCCTTACCTTGATATTGCAGAAAAACCTCCTGGAGCAGGTGCCGGAGCTCTTGGGGATGTCAACCGGGGATTTGCCGACCTCGGGGTGGACTCCCATGGCGAGGGCTTCCCGGGAGCCCGGCCTTGCGGGGCTGCTCCGGGTCCGCGCGGGCTGTGCCGGATCCCTGCGAGCCCGCGAGTGCGCCCGGCCGCGGCAGCGCCGAGTCCTTATAAACCGGCTCTGGGAGCGATGATGAAACGCTTTCTCCTCCCTCTTTCGCTCTGCGCGGCGAGGGAACTTTAAAGCCGCAGGAAGCCGCGGCAGCGCAGGTGGGGACGCTGCGGAGGGCGGGATGTGACAGCGCTCTGCCCACCCTGGGGATACCCAGCGCCCCGAGCCACCCCTGTGTCAGCCTGCGGGACCCGGCTGGGCAAGGAAACGGCTCTGGCAGTGCGAGGAAAACCACTGGGACTTTAATTCAAAGGTCTCCTTTCAGCAACTGAGACTTGGCTCCCAGGTGGTGGGGGGGGGAAACTGGGTGGTCAGATGGAGAGTCCTTCCTTTGGCCGTGGGGTTTTGGAGGGACAAAAAGCCGTCAGAGTTTGTTTTTATAGAGAAAGCTGCACTGGTGAAGCTCTTGAGCGCTGCCTTTTTTCACCAGCACCTCTCAGGGCTTTGTTTATGCAGAGCGCTGATTTATTTTGCAAGCTCCTCTCAGGGGGAAACGCGTCAGAAGGAGAAGGGCAGGTTGATCCAGCCGGGGGAGAAACCAGCTCCAGGTGCTCCGTCCGCGTTATCGCTTCCCTCTGCAAAGCAGGTGGGGAGGGCAGGGGGACCCCAGGGGGACACCCCGGCCTGTGCTGGGGTGGATAAATCAATCCCAGCCCCCGGATGGTTTCCCTGGGGGGCTGGTGGGTTTCTGTGTGCTGTGCCACGGACAGAGCCCCCTCGGTGTCACCCCCGGCCCCGTCCGTGGGCGCTCACCACGAGAGGGTGCCTGGAGCCCGTGGGAAGCGAATTCCCGGGCGCTGCCGTGCTCCCTGCCCACCCTCGGGATGGGACCTGCTCAGGGCAGCGTGACAATCAGCGGTGCTGAGATAAAAAGAGCTCATTTGGGCTCTTATTTGGGCTGCCAGCTCCCCAGTTTCTGAAGCCTGTCCCAGGACGGGTGGGTATCACTGCCTTTGGCGTGGCAAAAGAAGCATCCTTGGTTTCCAGCTTTCTTTTTCTGCTCCCCAAATTTGCCAGATCTGCACTGCGAAGAGACCCTTTATTCCCCATCAGAGTTAGCCAAGGTCTTTTACCCAACATTCTGAGGCAAGATGTGGAAGTTTCAGGCTCACCAAGAGCAAAGCTCAAGCAAACCAACAAACCAACATCTCTGCTCCTCTCCCATCCTCCCAGGAGCCCAGCGTGCCACTGACCTAATTTTTGAGGCAGTTCCTGACCTGCTCCCTATCCCGTTTATTTTGCAGCAGCTGTGAAGCTCACTCTGTCATAACAACCCCTCACAGAGCAGCTGCTCTGGCCACTGACTCCAGCTTCTCCCTACAAATCTGTCTCCATACAGCAAAACATAGCGGGGAAGATGCCTGACAAGCCTGAGCCCAGCCTGGCAGCGGGGAAACAGCCCTGCCCTGATGGCCTGTGCCATGGGAGGATGGTGACCCCCACAAGGGGAATTGGGACCCTCTGCAGCTGCCTCTGGGGGCTGGATGTTGCTGCCCCAGTGGACTTGATTAGATTGGAAAAGTCCTCTCAGATCATGGAGTCCAACTGCTCCCCAGCACTGCCAAACCCAGCACTAACCCACGTCTCCAAGTGCCACATCCACACCTCTGTAAATCCCTTCAGGAATGGGGACTCTACCTCTGCTCTGAGAATTCCCTTCCCAATGCCTGACCACCCCTTCTGGGAGGGAATTTTCCCAATATCCAATCTAAACCTCTCCTGGCACAGCTTGAGGCCATTCCCTCTCCTCCTGTCCCTGTTCCCTGGGAGCAGAGCCCGACCACCCCCATCTGTCCCCTCCTGTCAGGAGTTGTGCAGAGCCACAGGGTCCCCCCTGAGCCTCCTTTTCTCCAGGCTGAGCCCCTTTCCAGCTCCCTCAGCCCCTCCTGGTGCTCCATTCCCTTCATGGATGCAGCTCCTTGGTGGGAACGGACCACAGACCCCCTCAGGGGCTGGAGCAGCCTCAGAGCTGCTGGGCAGCCCAGGACCACTGTCCTCCCCGGGCCTGGCCACCCCCAGCAAGCTCCTGCTGGACCTCAGGCATGGGGAGGTGCCCCTGCAGGGCCAGTGTGCTGCAGGGCAGGGAGAAATGCTGCTGGCAAACCACGCTGCCTGTGGATTTCTCAATGTGCAGCTCTTGCAATAGGTAAGGCAAGAAAACAGCAGGTTCATGCCCAGCCATGAGCCATGGACGGCATTGGGACACCCCAGAGGCTGCACACCTTGCTGACCATCCTGGTGTGTGCTCCAGGAGCAGATCCCAGCCCATCCTGCTCTGTGCTCCAGGAATGGCTCCCAGTTTTTCCTGAGCAGGGAGCACTGCCCAAGCCATGGCTGATTAAATACCCTACTAACACAATAAAAGCTGACAATCTGAGTTTAAAGTCCAGTCATCTCTTAACCATCAGAGAGCACTGGTGGCATCTCCCATACTTTAATCCTGCTAATAAATAATAACTCCAGCCCTTGGACACACATTCATCTCCAGCTTTCTACACCAACACTGCTCTTAAATCATGGGCTTGAGATTGTGCAACAGGATTTAGCAAAATGAGCTGCACGTGAGAAAATGGGGGTGTCTGGCCTCTCTTTGAGGATTCTCTACTGCATTTCACTCTCTTGTCAAGGAGTGGCTCATCCTGAAGATGAATGCAAGGAGGAAAGTGATTTATGGTGGAGAGCTGGGTTTCACATTCTTCTCATCATTGGTCAGGGCAATAGGGTTGATGTTAAAGTGCCTATCAGGAGAGATCCCAATGGCAGGGTTGGGTTTGTTTCACAGGGTTTGGTTTATTCCACAGGGTTTGCTTTGTTTCACAGGGTTTGGTTTGTTTCACAAGGTTCCCAGGCTGTGCTTCGTGCTCCTCCTGGTGAGGAACCAGGGGAAGGAGAGCCCCTCATGCTGCTGACTGACACTGACAGGGAATCAGCCACTCCAGGCCACAGCTCTCCATGTGCCCAGCAGCTCACCCTCCATCCCAGCCCCTTCCCTCATCCAGAACAAGTGGAATGGTTTGTCTCCATGTGGAACATGCCCACCTTGCACCTTTCCGATGGCCAGAGTGAGCCTTCACTGGTGCAGCAGTGCAGGAACCAACACAAGTCCCTCTGTGGGGTGCTCACCTTATTCACAGACCATCAGAGCCCTCTGAAGGCACTTTCCTTCTGCTGGGGAGGTGATTGGGTCAAACTGCTTCTACATGAGTAAGGAGAACACCCTTTAGCCACATTCCCCTGCTCAGTTTCACCGTGTGGTGAGTGATCCTTGTTTGAGGACACGGCTCACCCTGCTTCACCACCCATCTTCAGGCTGGCAGAGACTGAAGCACCTCATTTTTCCTCCATGGTGTCTCCAACCTGTCCTGCTCAATTACTTGTTGGCAGCTGGGCCTTAAAAACACAGAAATCATGGAAAGGTTTGGAAGGATCTTAAAACTCATGCAGTTCTATCCCCTGCCATGGGCAGGGACACTTTCCACTGTCCCAGGTTTCTCCAAGCCCTGTCCAACCTGGCCTTGGACACTTCCAGGGATGGGACAGCCACAGCTTCCCTGAACTTTAAACTTGGAAATTATTTTCTTTAGCTGTTCTGCTGCCTCTAGAAGAGCTCAGAGTGCTCTGACAGCTCCAATTGAATGGAAATTAGTTTGTTGGGGAAGCAAACACGGAGCCCCTGGGCTCCCAGGAGGTTTCAGAACTGCAAGTACAAACACTGTGGATTTAGAGCTCCTTCCCTGTCACCAGAGCCATCCCCTGGAGTGCAGAGCAGCGCACCAACCCCACCCATTTATATAGCTCTCATTTATTCTGCAAGGCTTCTGGGGTAGCACAAGGGGAACAAGGACTGGAAAGGGATCAGTGGTTGCTGCCAGTGCCCGTGGCTGGGAATGACAGAGCTGGGTTTGTGCACTTGGAGCAGGAATTGTGCTCAGGGGAAGTGCACGGCTGTGCCTGAAGAACAGGCTAGGCTGGCTCACAGCCCCACTGTCCTGGGCAGGGATTCAGCGGCACCCAGGGGAGGGGACACTGCTGTCCCCATGCTGCAGAGCCCCAGAGGGGGTTTGCTTTGGGGACAAGCGACAGCTGAGCCCCAGAGCAGGAGGTGACACTGCCTGTCCTCCCTCTGAGGCCACCCCAGCCCTGCAGGGCGGCCAGGGCTGCACCCAGGGTGGGATGGAGGGCAGGGAGTGACGGCAGAGCTGCGTGTCACAGTCACACCTGCCCTCCGTGGGGCTGACTAACAAATACCTCAGGCAGCTCACCCAAATCCAAAGCCAGGCAAGCAAACTTCTTGCAGGGCACTGCAGAAGCAAGGAGGAATAAATGGGAAGGCAGGTTTTGCCAGGCTGTGGAACCTGGAAACTGGGAGGCCGTGATTTGGGCAGGCTGAGACTTTTGGAAGAGCAGAGAGGACAGCAGAAGACCCTCCACCTTTAAGAGCTAACAGGGAAATGGAGGAAATGCTTCTAAATGAGCTGGTGGTGCTTTGTGTCTCTTAAAACCACCAGTTTCTTTTCCTCTGCCCTTTCTGTTTCAGGTAACTCCTGTTTATTCTGAGGGCACATGGGTTTCACCATCAGTTAAGACAATGCCATGAGGCTCTTCAGTTAAATACTTATAATACGAATATGAACATGAATATAATTATTAATATTAATATTACCAGAGGCTCTTCATTTAAACTGGAGGTGGCCTGAGGGATGGATTATTTTGGTGGGAGAGCCAATTCTCGATTCCCCATGACACCTCTCCCACCTCTCCTTTCTCCCCACGAGCTTTCAGAGATGCCAGCCCCAAGGTGTCACGTGTGGGGCCCTCAGCTCAGGACACTCCAGAGGAGAAACTCTTCTGGCTGGCTGAAGGAGGGAGATTGGAATTAGGATAAT